CATGAGCATATAGAGAGACCCTCAGGAACTATGAAAGTAAAGACAATGGGAGCAAACTCTACTGAACGGAAAGTACTCCATATTAGAGGTATGGAAGCAATCACTATCAAAGAAGAGATCAAGGAAGCGCTCGAAAAGAAATGCGGCAGTATGGGGAAGGAAGACTGTCGGATAGGGGATGCCAGGCCAAGAAAGGACAGTACTCTAGCGGTTACAGTAACACTCCCAAAAAAAATGGCCGATCAACTCTTGTTGGAGAATCAATCATATTATACGACGCACCCATATGAGCAGAGACCATGAAAGTGAGCACGTACAGAGAAGCGTTGACGAGCATACAAAGGAAAGCACTCATAAACGTTGCCCGAGCTTACCGGACGGTGTCGAGTGAGGTGATCACTAGTATTCCACCTATAGACTTGACTATACAAGAGCGCAAACTTATCGACTCAGACAGAAACCCGGGAGCAGCGAAAGCGGCCAAGGAAACTACTATGATAGCTTAGCAAAACAGATGGTTCGCAGATACGAGAAAGCCTGAGCTAAGCTTCCAGCTCGCCCAAATTCTAACCAACCATGGATGTTTCAGGAAATATGTGAAAAGAATCGGGAAGGCGCAAACAGTGCAAGTTCTGAGATGAAGCCGATGACGCCGAACACACATTAACAGCATGTCCAAGGTTCGCGCGACATAGACAAAACATGGAAATCACGCTGGGCAGGAGCTTCCAGGCGATCACAGAGATTGTGTCACATATGCTAACATCTGCTGAACACTGAACAATGCTGGAAAGAGACATAGCGGAGATTATGGACTACAAACACAGATAGAAACAGATAGGACCAAAATAAGAACGCATATAGGCAGAGAGCCAACGTCTGTCTCCGTCTTGAGTGGGCGAATAGAAAACAGCTTTGATAGCTCAATTTTCTAGATGCGCCCATTATGCAGCAATATTAGAATTGGTTGCGCGTAAAAAAGCTGAGACAATGATGTTATTACCACGATATTATCACGCTAAATTGGCGCTTATAAAACAGTATAGACGAGACGCAGACTCACCAATTTCCTGCCTTATTAGAGGATTGCCTTTAGAACTTCATTGTTCAACACCTAATCAACTGTATGTCAGATGTATTGCATCTCTCGAAAATTATCAAAGTCCGACGAGATGAATTAAAATCCAAAGATCGATATTGGTGAGCATCGGAACGCCGAGTGTTTTAACTTTTAAAAAGCGAGCCATGTAGCAAAAGATTGTCGCTTCAAAAGAACCGTCATTTGTGATTTACACAAAAAGGACAAATGCCAATTCCGAAAAAATATGTACCCCAATTGGTTGGTCAATTGGTCAATTTGTTTCTCTAGACTTGGGTCTAGAAAAACAAATTGACCTATAACGATCCAATTGATAAATGCCAAAGTAATCAATAACATATACCTAAAAGAAGGTTAAGTAAATGGAAATAAAACTGAACGTTGTTTAAAATGCTATTGTTAAGAAACTTCAGCTCCCAGTGTTTTCCGTGTTTCCCGTAACTCGCTAAAATCTTTCTGCCGAGAAGGACGCTTTGGAGATCGATAATTTCCAGATAGAAACTTCTACTTGTCACAATTCAAAACAAGACCACAACTATGGTACCTATGAACATTGCCGAAGTTCTCGACCGTGAAGGACACAACACGAAAAATAAGCGTATTCGCGCGATATCGTTGGGGTTATTCCAGTCAAAAGTTAAAAGAAAATCAACATTGACCCACTAGAGAAAAGTCGTATTATCTGATTGCATTTGTTTGAAAATATTCTGGGCTACCAATAAAAAAAAAGGAAGGAATGTGCCACGATACTGAAATAATTTCTGCTCTTTAGGTCTCAAGGAACCTGTTTTAATACAGAAGTACTACGATTCAATGACAGTTATTAGACTACATAGACTATTATTATTATGAGTATGACAAAAGAAAGAATACTGATTACTGCCCGTCCCCCTCCAAATAAAAGTTACTTCACCAAATCGGTATCCGCATTAGATCGAGTTCGCTGTTTGACGGTAATTGTATCTGATTGTAACAGTCACTATAGGTGGCAGCAGTTTATTATCATAGTTATCTTTTGTATTACCTGCACCCCCCCACTTTTGTAGTAAACGTTTTTTTTTGCAATTACGATTTTTAAAAATTTTAATATTTATGAGATTTTAGGTATCTTCGTGTGTGATTAAAATATTACGCTGACATTAATAAACACTCAGGTACGCTTAAATCTTTTATTTCTGTCATAAAATAAAATCAGAAAAAATCTATTTATCTACTTTATCAGGGCGTGAAATTCTCTCTGGTTTTTTTTCAGCGAATCCAAGTCCGCTTTTTACAATTTCTTTTGCGTCATTTTGCCAATGGTTATTACCTTTTTAATAACCCGAATGAACAGATTCATAACAGCCGTTCACCAATTTCATAGATAACCATCAGAATGAAACCCAATTTTTTTATGATAAGTTGGCCGAAGATTCTAAAAAATTCAAATAAAAGTAATTAAACTTTACGAAAAGAGAGATCAAAGATCTAGCCCGACACTAAAAATTAAATTTTTGTGGTCCTTTCGTTTTAAGTAAAATTCTCGAATAGGACAAAATTCAAATTGAAAATCGGCTTTTCCAGAATCCTTCCTGTCAAACTAGGAATATCTAAAATAATTTCTAGTTATTGCCAATTTGCTTAAAGTTATTACTCACTTGTTTAATTTATTAACCTATGTAAAGTTGTATACGGTATGTGTTCCTAGCGAAGATTGTACGAACATTTTGAGATTTTGTTCGAACGAAAAACCGTACCTCTACAATTGTCCGGACGGATTGCACTTTAACATAAATCTTAATGCCTGCCATTATCCCCAATATGCGTGTTGCATAGAAAATGACGCAAAGAGTCAGAAAGAAGAAACACATTCAGGGTCTAGTAACTCAGGAGATAGAAAATATATCAATTCTAGGATCAAAGAGCACTTGTTTTCTTTTATGTAAACTAAGGTTTTCTAAACTGTAACTATTAATTCTTCTGAACCAAGCTGGTGGTTTTTTAAGGTGAAAATGATATTGCTATGGAAGTGTCTGAACAATCGCCGGATAATAGAATAGTTATTAAAATGCAAAAAGTATGTGCGATATCTAAATCAAAAATTAAACAAAACCCAAAACATAAAAAGGCTACCAACTACTACTCCGACAACTTTGCTTATTTCGACTACAAATAATGCAACATCATCTGCGACGATATCACCAATCAGCAATTTAACGGATACTACAAACACAACAGTGTCGTGTCAGTGAATAATACGAGGGCACAGCCGTTTCAGACAACTGCAAGAGAACTAACTGAAATAGTAACTACTGAGTCAACTGAAAGACAACAGACTTTGTTAGTATGTAACTACTCCGTCAATTGTTTAGGAACAAACTACTAAAGTAACTCTTCTAGCAACTTAAATGAATTTCGCAACGAATAGCCAAAACTCAAGTTAATTCAACTGTAGATTGACATTTCACTTGCCTGCGTATACCGTATATACACATATATTTTCACACACACACGCACACGCACACGCACACGCACACGCCCACGCACACGCGCACGCACACGCACACGCACACGCACACGCAACGGCAGAACAGCATCACACGATGGCAATCGCAATGGGATGCCACAACAAACGGAAGATGGACATACCGTCTCATACCAAAGATCGACGTTTGGCTGAAGCGGAGTCATGGCGAGGCCAACTATTATCTCACGCAGATGTTGTCAGGACATGGACGCTTTCGGACGTATCTTCATCGCTTCAAGCATGATGAGTCACCGGAGAGCCCGTCCTGCCCAGGAATCAGTGAAGACGCGGAACACGTCTTCTTTGAGTGCCCACGATTTGATCTACAACGAGACGAGCTGGAGATGAACTTGAAGAAGAACATTCAACCAGAGACAATAGTAGAAGCAATGCTGTCATCAGAAGCTGCCTGGAACGCAATTAATTCGTTTGTCACGGAAGTCCTTACGGAACTGCGTTCCATTGAAAGGAGAAGAACAAATGTCTACTAGAGGAAAGAAGAAGATATAAAATCTTAGGTATCAGAAGGAAGAGCAGCAGCTAATTCCTCCCTCTGCGATGTAATGCCTAAAAGGCGGGTCCGCGGGGGATGAGAGGATAGAAGATAAGAGGTTTTAGGGTTTAGTGAGTAGGGGCACTAGAGCCGAGTTTTTATTATAACTCAGTGTCGTGTGTCGAGTCTCACATATCCAGGCGAAACATCTATGCCTGGAATCCGAAAAAAAGATTCCCCCTCTTAAAAAAAAAAACACACACACACACACGCGCGCGCCCCAAAATAGTTGTGACAACACATGAATAACCCTCAATTGAAGCACTTTTAATTAAACATGCGCTACCAGATGTGCAATTTTTGGTAGTAAACGCAAACTTAGATTTTTACAAATAACTTCCATAGAAAGTAAACTGTATTCGGTTTTCACTTGTGACAACGTTGTCACAATACTTACATTAAAAGCAATGTGTTATCGTGTTGTTATTAATATCAGGATACTCGATGTGTGTTAATTGAAAACGTCGCAATTAGGGAGTTTCCAAAAAATGTGTTAACCCAGTGTTGCCAAGTCGAAGCAAAATACTCATTAGTCTATTGCAATTAACTTGTTTGGTCATTAGTCATAACTATTTTTTCATATTTTCACTGGGTACCCTATACATAGACCGTATTTTTTGAAAAACAAAATCTTTTAAAAGGAGTAAAAATCTCGGTCCGTGGGTATACTGCATAATGGAATTTGGAAAACACAAACGAAAACTTTATTTTAATTTCGAAAATTACCAGAACATGCTTTTTGTACAGCGTTATTAATAATTTTAACCATACTTACAGCATTAATTACAAGTGAAAGAAAGACAAATATAAACTTTGTAGGGTTTTCTATGTATTATATTTTAGAGATATCAAAAGAAAATATTTGTTTTTAAAAATTGTAAAAAATTGTCTTTTATTTTTTTATTTTATTCCTTTTTTTAAATCCTGTATATCATTACCTAAAATAAAAGCTGTCCTTATCGTAATTTTAAAAATATAAATCTAGTTGATACTGGCTTCATTAGTTTTTAAAGTATATGAGTTTAGAATTGATCGTTCAAATATAAATGACAGATTTTATTTTAGCTCATAATACACAGGGCGTTCTTTACAAAAAATACAAGTCTGAAATTTGTTTACAATTTGTAAATACAAATGTTTTGTGTTGATATCACTAAAACATAACAAACCCTACAACTATTGTATTTAAAGTTCTTTTTTTATTAACTCTAATCAAGGCTGTAGGTACGAGTCAAAATGAAATGAATAACCCTGTACCTACAAGATTAAAATAAAAAAGTACGGATCAACTTTACAATATAAAGTACATGTTAGAAAAATGAAACATAAATCAAAAACCATAATATAAGTATTAGAACATCTTTGAATTTTGTTTTTTCAATTTATCCAAGTGATTTTTGACACAAAATTTTACGTCAGTCCAGGACCTGAGAGCCAATATGCCATTACTTTCTTCTATACATTTCGTACAATCCGATTTTCCAGGAACAGTGCCTCGTTTGATTGAACTTATGAAGAATTTTAAAACGAACTGCTTTTCGTCGGAAGACCAAGGGCGTCGGGCACTGCTTTTTGACTTAGCTACTGCCTCTTCTAAAAATCGTAATACATTATTCGTATATAATATAACTTTACAAATTGGTTAATCAACTTTAGTTTTCATACACTTACTCTGTGCAACCTGGACGACAGGCGATTTAACAAACTCTGAAACGATCTTTGCCTCCTTAATCGTACCTGGATATTCTGAAAACAAATATGTGTATAATTACCTTCACGGTGATGGGGAACTGTAGTATCGGTAACAAAAAATTAAAAATTGTCTTAAAATGTGTAAGTATGAATTCCCTGCTAATGGAATCAATACCTACTTCCGCACCATTTCAAAAATAATTATTCAACATCAGATGTTATCAAAGAAATAGTACCAGAACCAGGAATTCAAAAAAATTAAATGCAACATCTTTTACCTTTGCGCTTCTCCGTTAAGAGGGGGATAGGGAGAAGTCAAAAATGTATTTACTACTTACCTTTTTTATCTTCTATAATTTTCAATTTCCCTTTTATCTCCTATCTTAATTTGTCTGACTAAACATAAAAACGTATAACAAAGTAATTTTAGTAGAAAAAATAATGCCTGTCCCCGCGGTATCTATTGCCTCGAAATTGATATAAGAAGAGTAATTCATAATAGGATGGTTCGACTTTTTTCTGAGCAAAATTGTTGAAAAGGGTGAGGGGAAAGAAAAGCTAAACGACAACAATACAATATGCAATTTATCCATAAAAAATTGAGTAATATCAATATCTTTTTGGGTTTTTCGGGTATAAAATTTTCAGTTTTCCATTTCCTTTTTACAAACAAATGGAGAGTGAGGGGTAAGAGCGGAAAAAGCATATCCCGTAAAACCGTTTTTTATAACAGCTTCTTTGCTTGCGTTGGAACCTTCTGCATGTAATATAACACTTAATAGTTTTACACTACAAAGCCGAACCTATTCATCACTTACCGCTTTAATTCAGGTCCTCATTTTCTCCTACGCTTGCCTGGGTTGGTATTGCGTCTTCATCTTCTTCATCGCTTTGTAACGTTTCAGTTGGAATATCTGCAAAGATATACGTTTTTATATGTCATAAGTGTTGATTAATATACCAACTTACCGTCTAAATTAATTTCATCCAATGACTTTCCAGCGAATTTGTTTACTTGCCCTTTTTCAACTGCTAACAATATGCGGCTAACTTTTGTTAACTCGACTGCACTTTCAAGCAGCCTGTAAAATTCACGGTGCACCCTGATATCATGTCCAAGATGTCGCGCAATCCAATCATAATCAGTCTCCGATAAATTGAATACTTGACAAAGTCGGTAAGATATTTTTTTAGCTCCTCTGTAGACTGACTGGACCAATTAGGTCTTGAACAATAGGCAACAATTGTCATTCGTGCGGCTTCCCCTGATCTTCTTTTATTAAAAAGAATTATCTTACTAAGAGTTAGGGAAGCCAGTCGACTCCACGTCTTAATTGTTGCACAATTTGATAGAGAAATTTGTTCTTTGGTCATGTTAATGGCAACAATTCAGCAGCATTCATTTTTCTATTATACATAGTAGCAAGCGCACTTGATGAGACTCTGGTACTCCATTCCAAGTCCATTAGACTTAAAAAGCATAACAATATTTCATTACCACCTCGTAAGCACATTTTTTCAATGCTAGTGGCGGTAACTCAAATTCAGGCCTTAGTGCGACATTTTGATGTGTTACACATAAAAATTTTGTTGCTTGAATTATTAGGTCAAACATTCGAGGTACAAGAAAATCTGTCAATTGCCTTTTTGAATTGTCAATTTCACGTAACTTTAAAGTTAAGCGTGCCAGTTGTCTCGTAGATTGCCTTATTAGTTCACATTGTGTAGTTCCATATTTGTCAAACAACATAGAACCAAACCTTTGAATTAATACATCTTCATTGCAATATGTTCCTATGTCATCATTTCGTAATTTGCACACTATTTTTGTAACATAGTCTGTTGAGAACTCTCTACCGAATGCGTCGTTCAATAAGGCATGACTCTCAGCAATAATATGTCGACCATTATCCTGATCGTCTTTTTGAGATTTAGCAGTACAACTGTTTTTTACGTGATGCCATAAGTGTTTTTTTAACATGAACCCCAAACAATACGGGCAAGGTCCATAGTCTGTTGGGGTCAAAAATTTTAATTTATTTTCAGTTGGACGTCGAACTAATATTAGATTGCCCCTGTTCGTAGCCAGTACTTCGGTATTGTCGTAAAAATTACCCAATCTAATAAGTTTTCTAAATCCATCTTTTCTCTCTTTTGAATGTTTTGGTTTCGCTAGTATTTTAGCAACATCGGTTTCTCTGTTATGTAATAGTTCAAAATGTCTGGCCGCGTTTTGGACTATTCGTTGACAAAAACAGCAAACGTACGCTTCATTGCGAACCAGTTCTCCATTTTCCTTAGTGGCTGCAATAATTTTAGGTGCATGAGCACCAATAGCAGATGCTCGTTTTCTTACATGAGAACTTGAAGACGTTTGCTGACTACCAACTTCGTTAGAATAATTATCAAAACTAGATGGAGGGGACAAAGCTATATCATTTGCACCTGGTGATGTGGAATCTGGTATTGCATTTTGATCGAAGTCTGCGGTATTATTATTTTTCTGGAGGACTATCTTTTTGTTTACTCTGTTACGCTTAACAGTTTTACGAGTTTTTGACTTGATGCGTATAGTGACATTCTTAAAATCTGTTTTGTTAGATTGATTACATGATTTAACAGAATCATCTTCTGATGGTAAATATTCACTTCCGCTTGTTTTATCTTCTGAGAAGTCACTGTGGGTGGAGATATGGGTGGACAAAGTTTTTTCCTCAAAAAAATTTTGTTCTAAAATATCGAAAATATTAAATTGTGGCAAATTTGCGCATTTTAATACTCAATGAAATGAGATGAACGCGTTAACGAAAACACCTTTTCCCCAATTACCAAGCATTTAGATTCTTTTGCCTCTAAATTGTTTGGTTGCAAAGAAACTTATACTAATCCTGTTGGGCAGCATTTGGTTAGGAACGAAGAACAATCTGAGGATCAAATTTCAAAAAAAGTTGCCAAGTTGAAAACTAAAATTAAAAACCTAAAAGATGAGTCATTTCAATTTATTGATGTTAATGATCGTGATCAATCTTTAAAATTGTTTCACCGAGAACCCTTAAGCCTGATACTAATAATGCCTTTGGTACACCGATGTATTTAAATTCTGATGTCCTTGCTGAACACGTTCCTGACGAAGTTACTAGAGCAAATGACATGGATCTAGGAAATTCTCGATACAGCTGTAAAATTCAATAAGGAAAACATAAAAGATATATTGGATACATCAGTTTATGAAGACTATTTAGATAATTTTGATAAGCTACCTAGACGACATATTGACGTCATGGTCATGGAACTGGTGTAAGGCATAACAGTGTGGAAGAAACATTTTTAATTGGGAATCGAGAAATTCAAGTTGTTGGTGCCGACATTAAAATACTTGATCAACAATTTAAAGGAACGCCAGGTCTTTATGAATTTCATAAGGAACCCAATATTTGGATAATTATGGTATTATATTAAAACTCACCAGCGCTCACAAATGAAATTTTGATCCAAAGGATCAATTACTAGGTACCCAAAAATACAAATGTAAACATATTGTGCGTCCTTTGTTTAAAAAACCCTTACCAAATACGACTAGAAAGTAAATTGGAAAAGGAAGGACTGGTTAAAGAATTTACCAATAACAATATCAAATATATTTACTGGAATGATCCAAACGAATTAGTTGATAGATTTCGACTTTTAATTGCTTCCCAGACAGCAGGTCATACAGCTCATAATAACGAAATCGTTTCTATCATCAAAGAACTACGTGAAACTAATATAATCGCTTAAACAATGACAATAGATAAATTCGGTCGTCACGTATTTAAATAAATTTATTTTATATCACAATTTTGACATTACAATCAAAAGCGATTTAAAACAAGCATTACGTATTAACCTGCGGAAATCTGTATTATATTTTTCCTTTGCAATTTGCTATTGTAGAATTAGTTCGTTCCAATTTGAACACTATTAGCGTATCTATGAATGATGTGTATTCACTAATGGGTTGTGTAAATTTTCCATTACAGTGTAACGATAAGATATGTTTTGTTTCTAATATTGCTGATTCTATCGAATCTGCTTCTGCATCCCTTTCATCAAATTTTAAGCTCTATATTGACTTAATACTAACATGTTGAGTGCAATTCGATGACCCTTCAGTTCTGCTTGAGGAAGGCTTTTCCCCACAACCATAAGAATGAAGCCCTATGCTGCAACGTTCGTTAAGAAAGATATAGTTGCAGAATTACATAAGCCTGCAAGAATCAATTTTAAAAGATGTCGAGTGATAATCAAAGGTATCAATAAGCTGCTTCAAGCTGATGTCGTAGAAATGTTATCTTATGCTCAAGAAAATAAAGGTTTCAAATTTTGAATTTCATTGATTGTTTTTATAAATATGTTAGGGCTGTTCCTGTAAAATCGAAATGTGCCTCTAATATTGCAGATGCTATGAGCTCTATCTTAGCACAATTATCCACTTTACCGAAAAACTAGCAGACAGATCAAGGAAAAGAGGTTTTTAAAGAAAAATTAAAAAATTAAAGTTAAAGTATATCATTAACGTCTTCAAAACGAAAAAAGCGTCTAAAGTCGAACGCGTAAATCGCAAATTAAAAAGTTTAATGTGGAAACAGTATAGAATACAAGGTTCCTATCAATGGCTAAGTATTTTATCTAATATTGTGAACCACTATAATAAATCTTTAATAGAACTATAAAAATGAAACCATCAGAAGTTAAGAAAAGTAACGAAAAATCTCTTCTCATTAATGTTTACACAAACGTGAAAATTGCAAGTAATGCTGCTAAATTTAAAATTGGAGACTGCGAGAATAAGTAAGTACCGAGGAACTGGTCGAATAAAACTAGTAAATGAAATCAAGAAATCAAGCTTACAAATCCAACAACATATTTACTGCATAATGACAAAGGTGAAGATATTTGAGGTAAGTTTTATGAATCTGAAATACATAAAGTAAAACATCCTGATGTATATTTAGTTGAAAAAAAAAGGAAACAAACTTTACGTTAAGTGATTAGGTTTCAGTAATGCTCACAACAGTTGAATCGACAAACAAAATGTGACTTGGATAATATATGAGTCTAGAATTATTTATTGTAGTTCTAAATGACTTCAGACAAAGTTAAGATAAAGTTGTGCTGTGTAGATTTGCAAGGTTATAATATCCCAGAGTTTATTGTCAAAGAATTAACAATAGTGCATGCTACCGAAATGAAACATTATCTATAAAACAAATGCGATATTTGGAGAAGCATCATCATCTGCGATATAGTGATGGAAAAAGTGAACAAGAAGAAGTCCAGCATATACTACAGAAGAATATTGTTGGTCGAGAGATGGATTTCATTTATGTTAAAGGAGGTATTAAAGAAACTTTCCTGCGCACTTTTTTAAAAACTGATTGGCCTAGAATTGTAAATGTTGATTCGCTTAAATTATGTATGACAGTTCTAATATCTTGTACATATCACAAAAATGTATGTGTTCCTTAAACAACGCTAAATCTATATATCTGTGGTTGTATGCCTCTCTTCCTAAATAAATCAATTTGATAAATAACATTTTTTTATTTCCATTATACCTTTATAGATTTAGTTATATCAGACAAAAATTTTCTGTATCAGTGGGATTTAAATAACAGGGAAAATATTAAAAACGATTTATTTAATTTGTCATTAAGAACATGTAGAGAATGATAAATTGTCTGTTTGAATAAACTGATGACGTTCAGTAGTCTTGTTCGCCATTAGTGTGGATTTTTTCCTTTTCTTTGCAATAACTATTATCGATTTGTCGAAGCCACGCCGACAAATTGAGAGGAGGGGGTTTAAATACAAATCGACATTTTCGAATATGAAGGTGTAAGCGTAACCTTAGCACCCAATGATCTGATATGAATGGACAGGGAACGAAATCTAAAATAAGGCTAGTATTAAAGTAAATCAATTAACAATTTTCAACGTGTTACCGTCTTCCATTATACAAAAGTCCTGGTTGTTAATATTTGTTATTCGGTTAAACAGGTCAACTTCGCTTAAGAAGTTTCTCTTTACGCACCGGTGTTTATTAAACATACCCCTCCACAAACTTACCCCTCTCTTCTGCATATGCGAGTTAGTCCGAACATAGTCGAATACGATTTATACTGCGCATGCGGACGCCGACGCAGCTGGGAATACTCAAACCCATACGCCAACCCGAACATACCCGAAGATTCAAAAATTTCCCCTTTGAACACACACGAACACACCCGAATATACCCGAACACACCCGAACATACCCGATTGCACCAGAACACACCCGAACACATCTGAACACGTCTGAACAAACCCGAAAATTCAAAATGTTCATGCGCCAATCCGAACATTCACGAAAATTCAAATTTTCCCGCAAAAAGAACCGGCACTACTATACTACTTTCATCCTGAATTCCAGAACCAATTAATTGTACACCTACATTAATAATTTCATGTGAGTGTACTACAATTAATTTAATATCGCATCAACCTTATTTATTTTTTTTTTTTTGACTCCCTACTCTAAAATTGCATATTTTTTAACTAGGTAACCAAAGAAGTAACTAAAACTAATTCTTCCGAGAACCTTGTAAGTATGTCAGGTGAGGGTCAATGGACACAAAAGTACCTCCTATTTTATATGCATTCTATAGTTTTATTCTATAATTGTAATGAAATAAATTATCACTCTTGATTTGTTGCATTGCTCATAGAGTAATGTGTTTTAAGTGTCGAGAGAGAAGCTATCGTCGTCTTTAGACGATATTTGAGATGGAAACAACATAACATTACATCGAATAAGTTGCAAAAAGTACGGCAATAAAGATTAATTTGGAACTTACTACCTAACAAGGATTTTGCTCCTTGTTACTAATTAATTGAAATCGTCACATTTTGAATACAAAAAACAACATGAGTCATAACAGCACACAAAAAAATCATTGTTGGTTTGTAACGAAGTGACTTTATTATAACGGGTTTAGTTTAGGCAGGTTACAGGCTACAGTTCTGCGTAACCGAAATGTCCCCACATCGACAGGGCATAAAACTCGCCACCAGCCACCAATCGACTACCAAGTCACCACCGTCTCCGGTAAATGCATTTACTTACACCGTTTTCCGACAAACCGCTGTCCTCCGTTCCGTCCCTCTGACTGAATAGATATCGCAGGGTAGGTTAACTACCATTTCCCTAACTAGGCAGAAATTACACCGCAGGGTAGGTTGGCCTTCAGTTCGACTGCACGTCTAGATGACGTTTCATACCGGTGCGCTAGGGGTAGACTGTCCCCCTTCAGTGCAACCCGCCCTGCAAACTCCGTCGGACCATTCGGAGCACAACAATAACGCTCACCGCTTTGCCGTTTCCTGCACTTCCGCAGTAACTCCGCTTACCGCAATCAAGTCCTCCGCTCCGAATAACAGGCTAAATACCACACACTGAAGGGCCGTCGTAATATTGTCTTATTAGAATTTTATTAATTTTATATGAGTTCAGATTCTTCATGATTCATGATTACTAGAATGATGGATGTTAATAAATTAATCCAATTAGTTCAGGAACGTCCAAGTGTTCGGGATAAGAGCGTGGATGAAAGTGGTTAAGGGAAAAGAAGATGCGGGTAAGTAACTAAACCTATTGCAACTTACTTCATGTTTTAAAAGTATTCTCAATATGTTTACGTCAAAACTTGTGTCTGTTTCTTAGGGAGAAGGGAAACTGACAAAATCTGAAGCGGAATCTATTCCGCTGGCTGTGTAGGTTAGTAGTATCCCACTACCCCGTCGGCCATGTGGAATCCCCCGCGGAATCCGTTGATGCACATTACCACAGTAGATTAAATGAACACCCCCACAAATTGCGGGGGGTGGAAATGTCCCACCGATGGAAAAAAAGTTCTCCGCTGCGTCCCTTTGATTAGTGGAATTATGAATATGGATAAAATAATACAATTAATCCAGGAACGTACACGTGCTGACGTTTTAGGTTGACGATACCAGTAAACAATGTAGTCTAAAAATGAACATGAGTAAAACCAAGTTCATGATAATAAGAAAATTGTAAAGTGTTTATTAGGGAGAATCTAGTAATGTCCAAATTCACTTTGGACATTACTAGATTGGAACGATAATTAATGAGCACCGTCAAGGGATTAAATGCTTAATAAAAAAAAAGCAAAACCAACTTTATCAAAATGTGAAAACTATTTAAAGGGCACAATTTAGACCTAAACATCAAAAGTCAGATTTCTTCGATGTTACTTTTTCTTGACACACGGAGTAAAGTCACTCACATTAACAGAGGCAACCCAAAAAAGACTTCAAGCATTTAAAAGTACTATACAGGAGAATTCTGAAGACGTCGAGCATGTCTAATTAGTACTGGAATGAATGAGCGAAGGAAGGGAAGTAATAAATACTATAAAAAGAAAAAACTTGAATATCCGGGCTATATAATGCGAAACGAAAACAAAACCATCTCCTTAAAGATATTCTCCGGGAAAAATCTAAGGCAAGAAAGACCCGGGAGACATAGGATATCATGATTGAAGAACTTAGGAGCATAGTTTTCCAAAACAAAAACTAAATTATTAAGAGCAGCAATAAACAAGTTTATTCTAGCAACAGTAGTCGCTAATGTTTGGAACGAATAGTCACTTGAAGAAGCAGGTATGTTTATGTTAAAACTTGTTTGTTGTTGTTTATATGTAAGGTAATGTACTTGTATTTGCTCCTTAAGGAGAAGATAAACTGACTAACGCGGAAGCGGAATCTATTCCACTGGCACTGTGGGTTGGTTCAAGCGGAAACGTATTTTTCCGCTCGGAAATTCCGCCATATGTGGGATAGGACTAAGTTAAAACGGAAGCGTATCTTTCCGATCGAAAATTCCACTTTTACTCACTTGTGTGGGATAGTGCCGACTTCAACTCCGCTTACCGCACCCCACACATCCGCTACACGTTATCATTAAGCATGCCCCCACTGTTCATAATGGGGGCTATACACATGCAGGCAAGTCCGCGCGCAAGTGTGTCCAGGTAAGTCCGCGAGCAAGTGCGAAACGAATTGCGGCCACACACTATTCAGGTAAACCTCGAGAGTTGGTGGGGCCTGCTGCTGTAAGATAATGAAATTGGCCTTCGTACTTGCTCTAAAAATCAGACACAATCTGATTCGCTTCGGGCCGCGCTTGAAACTGAACGCGCCTTGAGTTTTGACGCATACACATTCGCACTTACTCGCGTGTCTCGACCTGTAGAGGCAAGTCCTAACACTTGCCCGTTTGTGTATAGGTCGCTTAAGACCGGCTCCTTGTCAACATTTAATTAAGGTTATAATTTTGGTTAGTTTTGGTTAGTCATCACTATAAAAGGAGGGTGGCGCGCTAGACCACCGGTACAAACCAGTCAAACCACTAACTATTAGTGTATCGGGTAGCGAAATCCGTTGCAGGTTAGTTTTGTGCCATATACTAGATAAAAAGCCTAAATAGTTTATTACAGCGTATTTATGGTAATTAATATGAAATATTTTGCAAAGTTGGGTTAATTGTTAAGCCGGATAATGCAACACAAAAACAGCCTTTTTATCCCCATTTTCGCAAAAATATCAATTAGGCATCATGGTGGGGTATAGGTTTAGTAATATTATACGATGTCAGTAAAATACATATAGCTATTAGATAATATAGTGGCCCTACTACGGTAAAAAGTAGAGGTGTGGATCTTATGCGCATGCGTCATCCGCCAACTGACTGAGTTGCCACATTACCATAATTTTTCTGAAAAAATTGACTAATTTTTATAAGAACGCAAAATCAGTCTCTGAAATGCGAATATAATTGCTATTGCCAGAGAATACTAACAGTAACATTGTTGTTTACATTTTTGGTGGTTATGGTTGTCTTTGTCCCTTTTTCGTGTTTTTGTGAAAAATTTGTTTGTGGTCAAAACTCTAAGGAAAAGAATATGCCTATATACGGGTAAGTCTTGCATTATGTACAAGTTAATTTAAAAGATTTAAAAGGGGTTTTTATAAGACTCCCTCTCACAAACTTGTATAATTGGTGCTTTCCATATTTACTCCTTCACGAAATTACAACAATTGTGGCAAATATCAGGTTTCAGTTAAGTTAGATTTCAGACAAACCCGAGTGATTTTGCAAACTGCAAGGTACAATTAGATAGCTACTTAGGAAAGATGTTTGGATAATATGTTTTAGTGTACAAGAATTACAGGAAATGTAAGAAAACAATTAAGCTGCAAGTTTTACTAGAACAATAATAAGAAATACTCCTTAATAATTACAAATCCTTGTAAACCTCAATAAAAACGAAATTGCCTTTTGGTTGGTTAAAAATTACATAAATTGTTACCGCAGAAAGTGGGGAATTACCAGAATCAATTCAGCTGCAACAGGAAGAACTTAAACGATAAATCTGCAGGATATTACTACTATATTAATTATCAGGAATTCTAGGCAACTATTCAAAATTTTGGGATACTTCATTTGTAGGCCAACTACCTCCTGAGAAAGGTAAGTGAATACTGCAGTACATAAATACACAATTTGACACTGATTAAATAACCACTTCTATCTATAAATACTGACTTTGTACATCTGCTTGTTGAATTCCAGACAACTCGAGTTGGAAAAATGTTATATGCACAACTTGGGAGGACAAGATATTGATTACTCTCCGACTATTTTCCCAACCCTTGCTTAGCTCGAGAGTAGGCTATGTCCTTGACTCGTAAGTATCACCAATTTCCCTTGTGTGAATATTTAGTATAAGTTTTTGGACAAGGTATGGGACTGATCCATGTTCTCTATCCCATTTTTTTATAGACTTGCATATATGTCTGTTTCTTAGTTTTGATATAATAATCACTTATCCAGGTAGTGTCATTCAATTTAAATTTTATTTTTTAGATGAAATTGTAAGGAAACAATGGATAACCTTGCTTGTCAAAAATAAAGCTGCCAGGGAGACTGATAGCTTTAGAAGATCATGCATATTTGGGGTCACATCACTCCTTTAAGCTATAGAAGAGGTGGTAAAGTCTTGACAAAATATGCAGTGCAGTGTCTTTTGGATAGATATTGTAATCAGTTGTAAATCGGGTTACTTGTTTTCTGACCAGACTTATAAAATTGATCAACTAATTTCACTTTCCTCAAAAATATTATTTTGTTGGTAATATGTTACCAACTTTTTTTCAGTCTAAAATGTTGTTATTTTTCCAATAATTAACAATATTTTATCGTATTACACATCAACATTTTTTTTTATTGGTTTCATTTTCTTTTTTGCAATTTTTAAAGGTGGTGATCCTCTCAAATCAAGTAATATAAAAGTTCCTTGAAAAATAAAACATAAATATTATTATACTATTAAAAAATAATTTCTTATTGTGTTTATAAGCAACAATATATTTTATTCTTTTTAATAAAGGCCTTATTAAATAATTCATGTATTTATTTATACTAACCAAAACGAGTTCATAAAACACTATATAAAATGCTATTACAATTAAACATAAGTCGTAGTTGTGGGATAAACCACAATCTTGTCTACAAAACCAGCAGCGAGTGTGCATCTGGAAAAAAATATTTCTTAATAGGACACCTTCCTTTTAGAATGTTTCATGTCAGATTACACTTTCAAAAAATTCCGAGCATTTCTGTAAAAGTAATTTTTGGTTATTTACATTTGAATACAAATTGCAATAAAACATAGCTAAATTATTGTGTGAATTGATACTAGTATCTAAAGCCCGGTAGACACAATGCAATTTCTACCTGTATTTTTAGCATTTAACAATTGCTATTAAATATTTTTAACGGAAAATTTTTTGCGGTAGTCGCCATGCAATTTTTGCTAGCAAAATGTTTTTTAAATTTTGAGACAATAAACTACACTTTTTAAGATTTGGTAATGTTAATTCTGTTACCTTTAGGGCTCATTGTTTATTGACTTGTTTCATACTAGTTTTTAATTTTCTTGGTTAAATTTTCCAATACCTACAGTTTTTTAACGAAATTGTCCATTGGTACTTTTCACAATTATATATTTGGAAGGCGATATCTAGTACCTCAAAGTTATATTTACCCTTCTAGAGTCACATTTCGTGAATTCAACTTTATTTACATTTTCAATGGAGGTTAAACTAATGAGTTTATAAAAACAAACAATTTGCGCTGATTTACGGGCGCAAATTCGAGAAAAATTAGTTGGTATCGTGTCTATAGCGCTTAAAGAACCAAAACGCTAAAATACTCGCAGAAGGACGCCGCTTCGTGTGCTGTAATTCTGCATAATATTAACTCTGCACATGTCGCTAATTTTTTAGCAACACTTTCTACACCTTAATTCCTTTTGTGCCTGAAAATTTAATGGGATTTCGACATAAAATGAAATTTCAAATCTCGGGCATGCCCATATTGAACAAACCTCAAAATTTTGTTACATAGTTGCTTCGCGATTTCCTGTACTATTAGCATAGGCAGGGCCTCTATATGTATAGTAGCTATATGGTAAAGTAACATTTGTTTACACATTTACTATTCCTATACCATGTTTGATCTAAGATTGCACTGAGAGCGTCGACGAACGCTCAAGGCGCATGATTTGATCAGAACCCTTTCGAGGGGTCACTAAACCAATTACAAAATCAGCCATTCAAAAAGTGGATGGAAAGAGAATCCCAAAAATAGTGGAGCGACATGCCACAGAGGCCGTAAAAATAGTAATAGGTCTACTGATAGATATCTGCCGACTTAAAAGACATCTAAGCCCAATGGGAGTAGAAAAATACATGGAATGCGATTCTGTCAAGAGGAGAAAATAGCTAATAGCCGATATAAAGACCTACTGAGTGTGTTTCCATCTGCTGCGGCACACCAGAGAGTCACAACAGACCCAATTCTTATAAGTCAAGTTTATTTAGATGTAAAATAGTTCACCCGGCTTCAATTTCTCTATTACAAATATCGAAATCCTACCGCTAACATGTTTCCTACATCCAATACGCTTTAAAAATAGTATTTGAAATAAAAACGTGTTTTGGCGATGAGGTGTTATAACAACCCTAAAATATAATTTTCCCAATGTTATTACTCAGAAATCAATATACAGCATGAGAATAAATAACATTTTCTTTGAACACATTTTTAACCTTAAACGGGAGTGGTATTTCACGAAGGGTTCGACGGCAGAGTCTCATATTCACAGTATCACACAACAGCGACAATATCGTTGTCGAGACGCACCAGCTGTGGGAGGCGGAGTAACTGGAGCAAAATACGCGTGTACTTTGATGTTCGGTAAATGATTCTGTAAAAAAGAAACAAAGTAAACCCGGTTTCAACACCCAACATTATCGAACATCCCACCACTCGACTCCACGCCATCATGAAACAGAACGTAACGTGTAATGGTCTTTTTTAATTTAATACTTTTAACCATCACTCCCAATATTGGCTGTTGCAACAAAACCCACATTTGGATTTTAACTTTAACTTTGTCAACCGTCACTGCGCAAATAATTATTATTCGTGTAGAACAAACAACTTGTTGATTTTTTTTTTATAGTAAAACTTTGTAATATTTGCCAAACACAATAGTGTGTTAGTACTGACAACAATGTACAGCGAAAAATGGTGGCTTACCCTAAGTCTTCTAATTCCAACCCTTGTAATAAGCTGGCAATCATAAAGTTCTACTCGTTGTAAGTTGTGACAGGATGTCAGATGTTCCAAAGAAGCATCTGTGACTAGGGGACAATTGTCCAGTTCCAAAACGGTAAGATTTTCGGCAGCGCACGGCGACAATGATAAGTGCCGAATGCCTTCGTCAGTGATTAGTTCACAGTGTGACAAAGTCTAAAACAATATTTTTAAAGAACATTAAAAATATTCTCAAAAACAAATCAGTAGGTAGAATTTAAAAGGCTAACTGCAAAAGTCATATGTACTGTTTTTCGCAAACGATGAATAAATAATTCCTATGTTCAATTTGTCACGGCCGACACACAAAACGGGTATTTTGAAAATTAAATCACCATCGTATTTCATTCATTCATTTCATTTCAAGTTTTACAAAATCAAATTACTTTGTAATGACGAAACTCGTATATTTTTAAGCTTATATAAGCTCTCTATAAATAATATTAAGGATGTCTCATGATTGATTTCTGGAAAACGGCATATAGGAATTTGCTGAAAATATTGATCCCATAGGTGTTCAAGTTTTTAAGCAGTATCACAGTGTTGCCGCTTCTATCGAAAAGTAGCGACAACTTGAGCTTTTTAATTTTTTTATCAGTTTTATCAGGCATTTCTAATTCTTCAGAGCTTCACAAAAACGTCAGAAAGTCTCATTTATCAACAGCCATGTGTGTTATAGTGTCTGCTCCAGTTTGGGCCACTTGATTTTCCACTGTAAGTTTCTGTTTTCGGGGTCTAATGATTAATGGTTAACACGTCCGTTTAAGGCCGGTAAGCTGAGCTCGGCCAGCAATTTTTTGCGAGTACTGCAAAAAACCATCTCACGTTATCTGTGTATCAAAAACAATTGATATACAGAATGTACTTAACTGGCCTTTTGTGGAGATGCGACGAATGTGCCAAAAATTGCATTTCAATTAATAACTCGGAAATCAGTGCTTTGGTACAATCCAAAATTGACGATGCTCTTTCTTTATTCAATAGCCAACTGTCAGGTCTGAGATCGGATGTTGCCAAATTAACTAAGGGAGTCACAACTAATCCAGTAAGCACTCCATACAATGAAGTAGTTAAAAATAATACATTTCCGGCAGTTATTATACAACCCAAAAATGGAGAACAAGATTTAAAACAAACTAAGTCTGAACTATAGCAGAATATCAGTCTAACAGAAAACAATATTCAGTTGGCAAAGGTAAAACCTGTCCGGGATGGCGGTATACTGGGGGGCTGCAAGTTCAAGGAAGATAATGAGAAGGTTAGAAGGCTGACTGAGGAGATGTCTGCATCATATGCTGTCAAAGAAGTTGCTGGGGTTTGCAATCGACTACGTGCAGTTGGAATGTCCGAAAAATGCTCAGAAGTCGTCTCGCGGGATTTAATTATTAACTGTAATTCTGATGTATTTTCTGACTGTAACGAGTGTAAAATTGTGAAAGTATTTTCAAATAAGAAAAACGCCAAAGTTTTTTAATCAATTATTCAAATAGGCAGGAATTGTTACGATAGGGCGTTAAAAGTTTTTCATAGGTTATGACAGCTGCACGGTGTTTGATGCAATTTATATCTCTCGTTATAACTGCAATGAATTTCGTCATTCCTCCAAGACATATAAAAAGCCACTTAGCTGTAAATCTTGCATATCTCAAATCAAAAAATGCTCTAATTGTTTGAAACTTCCTGGTGGTCACAATTCTGATATATCGTTAGATCATGCTGTATGAGAAAAAGACAAATGTTCCGCATATAAGGGTGCTGTTTAAATTGTTAAAAAGTTATAGCAACCATCAGTTTCATCTCGGTCTTCCCTTGGTATGAGCACTAAAGTTCATGAAAATAATAAACGTACTGACAAAAGCATATCCATTTATAATCAGAATACTAGAGACTTGCGGTCTAAAACTGTCGATGTTTTCAATGCCGCTTCGTCGAATGATTGTCAGATTTTAGATTGAACTTTCCCTTCTAGGGGAGGGGGAGTTCTTGTTGCAGTGGGTGACAAGTTTTTATCGACACGTATTAACATCGACGATTATTTTCCACCCTCCCTCATCTCTGTCAATATTATAGTGGTTAAAATTGTCACGGATCTAGGTTCTTCGTATGTCCGTAATGTCTACGTCCCACCCTCAACAACTAGTGAATTATATACCCTTCTATTTGAATCACTTAGCAACTTCGAATTTTTGTATAATAATAACACTTTTGATAGTGATTTTAACATGACCTTATATGCTGTATCGCTTCAGAATAACCTGAGAAATGCAAATATTTCAGCAGACTTCCTGCTCGTTTTCAACTTAACTCAGTATAATTCCTTTTTTAATGATTATGGTAATATGCTTGATCTTGTTTTTTATAATAACATCTGTATGGTTGAGAAGTCCACTGATTGTTGAGTGTCTAAGGACAGGCATCATCCCGCGTTGAATGTTTTTTGTAGGCTGAACTTCAGTTACAGTTTAAAACGTAATTTTCCGACATTACATTGTAATGAATATAATTTCCGGAAAGCCAATTTCCATCTAATGTATGATCGTATTGCTTAGACTGAACCTTTCTTGAATCTTTTCACAAAGCAATGACGCCTGCACATACTTTTACGGTAAACTTTACAACATGTTCAATCAATATGTTCCTAAACTTAATACGCCCCATAAGCGAAAGTATCCCGCATGGTTCACGCAGGATTTGATCAAGCAAATCCGTGTAAAATCTAAACATTTAAAATTGTTCACGATTAAGAACGATCTTTATGCTCTCAATGAATTTAAGCTATAAAGGGCCAAAATTAACTCTTCTTCAAATTTTACATTTAGTAATAGCGATAATGTGAAGTACTAGCGACTCTTAAGCAGACAAAAAATAAGATGACGTAGGGACCTGATTGCATTCCGGCATTTGTTTTAAGGGACTGTGCGAGTGTCCTTGCTCCACCATTTACAATTCTACTGAATACGTGCCTTAAATCTTGCACTGTGCCTGACATCTGACCCCCATGACATTTTTGCCCCATTTCATTACTTTGCAATTTTTCTAAGGTTTTTGAAACTCTCCTGTAAAATAGATTATACAATCATTTAAAAAACAGTATAACATCAAAGCAACATGGTTTTATGAAAAGGCTGTCTACCATCACTAATCTGGCAAATATCACCCAAGTTATAGCTGAAAATCTAGACTTGAGATCTCAAACTGATGTTGTCTATACCGATTTTTCGAAGGCGTTTAACAAACATCATCATTATCATTACATCTAATCAATTACAATCAATCCATTTGTTTTCATCTAAAAGATTCACGCCAGTTTGTTATATTTGGTGGACTCAAGCCTGTAGAATATGTCGTAACATCTGGTGTTCATCAAGTCAGCAATACTTCTATTTAATATTTTTATTAATGACATTGTCGGAAGGGTTGATGTTAATTGCTTGTTATAGCTGACGATCTAAAGTTGTTCTTCAAAATTCAGCACTGCCAAAACCTATCGTTGAATGTAAAGCGTATTGAAAAGTGGTGTGTCCATAACAACTTGTTAAATCCCATCAAATGTAATGTCGTGACATATTCACTTAAGAGTAATATCCGATATGATTACCTAATGACATCGTACTTCAGTGTCCAGTTACTCTTGTTGATCTAGGTGTCACTTTTCGCCATAAACTTTCTTTCATTCCACATATTGACTCTGCTGCGAATAAAATATAAGGGTTTATAGCGAATAAAATATAAGGGTTTATAGCACGGAACTATCGAGACTTAACAGATTTAGAAACTTTAAAGACTACGCATTTGTTAGATCTAAATTACAATACGGTCATATTATATGGAGTCCATTTTACCAAATTCATTCAAGGAAGCTGGAATCTGTACAACGAAAATTCTTGAAACTCTTGTGCTTCAGGCATGATAATAAGTATCCGCCAATTGATATAAGCAATACTTCGCTTCGTAATACGCATAACGTACACAAATTAACTTCTCGCCGCGATTGTCACTCGGCGATATTCTTGCACAAAATTATTCATTATCAGGTTGTTGATCCAGGCCTCTTATAAAAATTGAACATTGGTGTCTCCAAGGTTTTATCTTTCTACGCCGCGTACGAATATTTTAAAATTTTCTCCTTTACACAGAATGTGCGATCTGTGCAACTCGGCAAGTTTCCAGATTGATATATTTAGTTCCTCTGTGCGCGACGTTAAAACATGTTTTTTAAGGAATGGCATATAATTATTTTTGTTTTATTTTACGTTGTATTAGCATTTTGCTGTCCTTTTGCATTTTTTTTTAATTTTTCACTTATGTTCCTGTTCTGTAGTTGGATTTATCCTGTTGAACAGTGTATCTAAATAAATAAATAAATCCAGATCCAGTTTATTTAGCACGAGCGGAGCGAGTGTTTAATAAACGAGTGACTTAAAAAGTTTACCGAACGTGTTCCATACTATACTTTTTCTACGACTGCTAGTTTTTGGGTACATTTTTGCAAAACAACACGAATACATTCACTTACATGACCATAAGAATTGAGAAAGTCAAAATTCAAGCCGTGCGGTAAAATCTCTGAAAACATCCGATTGCCTCCAAACCCGTGCGGTAATATCCCGGAGATGTCCGAGGTGTCTCGGATCCGTCATAAATTGACGCTTCCCGCACACTAGATCGGCGTACAATTGGGTTTTACAGAAGGGTGTAAAAAAATAATATTACAATACCCTGTGGAAGTGTCTTTTTTAAAAAAATCCCCAGGCTGAAATAGACCCCAATTTAAATTATTATTGCTGAGTTATTTCAATAATTGAAAAGCTCAAATTTTGGCTGCAATTTGCCAGCATCCTCGTATTTGCCTGTAGAGTAATAAGTACTGCGATGTACATATTTTTTGCAAAATCATAATTTTAGCGTCTTAGACAAAATTAGTAAAGTCTTCTTGGTCAATGTTTATAATGAAATATTTTGAAATTGTGTGGTATTCGACATAAAGGTAGTTTTCTGTTTAATGTGACCATGAAATGTCAATGAAAAATTGACAATACTTGTTGCATTGAGAAACAAATGTTTTATTAACGAAATTTAAAATATGAAAAATAAAGAATTAAAACAAGTGAATATAAAAATTTGGAAGAAACTTATGTATTATCTATGTAGTGTGTGGCAGGATTAAAATGTGAAGAGGTGGGAGTCTTGATAAAATATTCAGTGCAGTGTCTTTTAGGTAGATATTGTGATCAGTTTTAAATTGGGTTACTTGTTTTCTGACCAGACTTATAAAATTGATCAAATAATTTCACTTTCCTCAAAAATATTTTGTTGGTAATATGTTACCAACTTTTTTTCTGTCTAAAATATTGTTATTTTTTTAATAATTAACAATATTTTATCGTATTATAAATTAACATTTTTTTTTATTGGTTTCATCTTCTTTTTTGCAATTTTTTAAGGTGGTGATCCTCTCAAATCAAGTAATATAAAAGCTCCATCTACTTACCAAATATTCAATCCTAGGGCAGCCCATTGCTAAGTGAATCAGAGTAGAATCAGTGATAAGCACACACTCATCTAAGTCCATTTTTTCCAAGTAACGACAACTCTAGAGAAACACTTCAATTAAAAAAATCACTCAAATGCTATGACACAAAAATAGTGTTGCTCTTAATTAAACTAATATTATCCAAAAAATTGTAGATTATTAATAATTGTAAGACTACAACATATGATCGACAATAAATTCATAAATAAATTTCATAGAACAATAGCATGTTATTTTATTTTTAAAAGCTTATTTTGAAATAAAAAACATTTCTTCTCGCAATAATCTCAAGGTAATTTCAAGTAGTAAAAATTATATAATATTAAATTGCTATACCCTTGCTAGTGCCTGAAAACCAGCATCAGTGAATTGTGAGCATCCTGCAACCTCTAAAGTCGATAACATAGTACACTGTTGCGCCAGCGCAATCAGTGATGCGTCAGTAAGACCCGAGCACTTTGATACACACAAGTAATGCAGTTTGGAACACTTCTCAGCTAAAGCTTGAACCGCTTCATCTCGAATGTTCTGAAAAATATAGAATCTCATTTCTTGCCAAATATGCAATTTTCAAATTTGAAATTTAGATCAGCAAACATACACTTTATTATATCATGACTTACACTGCACTCTAGTAAATTCACTATTTCCAATTGAGTGCAGTATCTTGCCAAGCAGACGACAGCTTTCGAAGTTATTTGTTTGCAGCCTTTGGAAATAAAACTTTTTAATTTTGGACATCCTAAAAGAAATGCATTTTTGTTAGGTAAATGTATTTAGTATATATATTTTCATTGATTAATATGTTTACATTACCTCTTGCTAATGCTTCAACGCCATTTTCGGTAATATTGCTACACCAACTAACATTTATGTGTGATAAATTTGGACAGCCATCACTTAAAGCTTTTAATGAATGATCAGTAATTGCTGAACAACTATCCAAGTTCATTTTCTGTAGTTTAGAACAATGCCTTGATATGGAATTGGATGTTGAATCAGTGATCTAAACATTTTGAAACAATACATTTCTATTACAAATCAAGATTTTCATTTTGTCGGTAAAATTGTGCCGCTAGGGTCGGCCAAATGAGAGAAAATTTCTATTTTTTACTGTCATTTAAAGGTTCTGTAGTAAAAAATGACCAATTTAATTTCGTTGCTTGCTACAGGTAACCAGAAAATTTATAGCCATTGTTTAGATCTTTCTATATCTTCCTATAAGTTTAACGTTACATACCCTATACATTATATACTATATACATTATTATGCCTTACAATATTTTTATTTAAACATAAACCTAACTATACAAAACTTATAAAAAGAACAATAAAGAAGCAATAATCTGTTTTGCACACCTAAAATCTGAGTCTGACATTATCAGTAATAAAACTTGATTTGAGGAAATGTATTGGTACAACATTCCTATGATCAGGTCAAGTTGTAATCAAAACCTTACACATCAAAGATGAGTATTTCTTTGATTTGTTTGTAGTTAAAAATGTTGACAAATTTCTACTCTATTATTTCAAACCTCACTTTCAACCAAAAAGACCTTGATCAGAAAAACACCCCCTAAAATTTGAAGGCATTGTTTTTTGCTAGTCTGTATATTATGTAACCATAAAAATTTTAAGAAACAACATTAATAAATTCCTATTGTATATAATGAAACCATCAGCATATTATGGAATACCTAACATATGTAAAATAGATCAGGAAAAGGAAAGCCTGGAAAATGTTCCATTAAATTGTCCGTTTCTTTAAATGAGCATTATAACATACACAAATTTAATTAAATAAGACAAGTTATTTAAAAATGAGGTGTCCTTTAAAATTTTGGAACAAAATAAAAATATGTATAGCAAAATTTTTAAATTGTGCTGCCTATTAAAGAAACCAGCGAATGTAAACAAGGTACTTTTTCTTATTAGTCAACAAAACTTTCATCCCTTAATCGAGAATTAATTTGATAAACACCATGAAAATATAAAGTTCTAGAAATTAATATTTAAATTAATTGATTGGATATTTATATATCCAAGCCAAAACCAAATCTGTAAACAAACTACCTTTTTGCATCCGTTTAAATTTAAATCTTCTACATTAGGACAAAGTTGAGCTAAAGTTTTCATTGAGCCATCTGCTATAGACTGACATCCTCTTAATGATAATTTTCTAAGAAATCCACCACATCTTCTGGAAATATTTTCTATTATTGGACCCTAAAAAGGAGTAAACAAATGAGATCTAAATATTATGCATATAAGGTAAGTCAAGTTAAACCAGTTTATTTCCTTAAAAAATTTAAGGGAAAAGTGGTTTTACAGTTTCAACAATTTGAAAACCTCGCCACTTAACTTACAATTAAATAACGATAAATTGAATTTATTTAGTCCTAGCGCAGAGAGTTTGGTTAATGTTTTTTAAGGTTACACAAATTCTAATTCCTATGGTACTTACATTATCAAACCCAGAATGTACAATAATGTTGTTACACCCGATTTAAGACAGTTTTAAGTTAGTTAATTAAGTCTACTTTCTTACTACTTATTAACCAAAACCTACTCGTAGTAAATTAATATTTCTCCAAGTGTGGTGCATTTTTTTTTAATTGAATTCTTCACAATATGTTTAGCTGATTAAGCGCCTTTTTAAATACCTCGACATCCTTTTGAAAATCAAATAGGTCTATCCTTTGCCAATTTGAACCATCGAGAGCTAATACATTCCATGCTTTGGATACCTGAGCACAACGACATAATGCTACTACATCTAAATATGAAAATATCCTAAGCAGTAACTCCTTGGGCAATTTCTTATTGATTAGCGCTTCATCGTCACTAAATACTCTGGTAATCTAAAATTGAAATTAACAAAAAGTTTGAAATAGAAATGGTGTAGTGTATGCGTGTATGCTAACAAAACGGAAACTATTCCGTGACATCTTCAGTTCACGGAACACAGTACATTGTACAATTTTCCACACTTTTGAGGGATACCTTGCTTACCATCAATGACGGAAATATATGGATTTCGCTACTCTTTTGGATGGCATGGCACAAAAAATTGAGATACAGAGAAAATGTGGCATATAATACTTTACTTCTTTATATTGTATATTATTTATGAAAAAATCCAGTCACTAACATTAATCACCAAAAAAGTTTGTTGAAATATCACAGTCAAAGAACACACATAGGCAAAGGAAAATGTGGCGGTAGAGCACTATAAGCCTCCTACATACCGGATGTTTTCCAACTTCTAAGGTCATTTCTGGACTGTGATATGACCCAAGTTTGTGTTGATGTATGGGATGATGAGTACTGCTACGCCACCATGGACACGTTACATGAGTTAGAGCGTCGACCCCACCACTACCATTTATGTGATTTATTCCTTCGCCTTTACTGCTTCCCTCAGACTAAGACAAAAGATATAGTTATACTATATCAACAAATGCTAAAATATTATTATAAAATAATCCCCATAATTAATTAAGGCACTACATATTTACAATTATTACAATATTACAATTTAAATTGACATAGGTTTTTCTTTAAAAAGTGCTTCAGTGTTGAAGATCCTACAAATATTTTAAAATAACATTTATATTGGTATTCATAGAAAAAATTTTAGACGCAAACAGTGACTTCTTTTAGTTTATTTATATTATTCTAAAAATGAACAAACAACATATATTTAAAAATAGTCACATGTAAAGACAATATTATTGTTAAAATCTTTACGTGAATAATATTTAGTTATAGTATTACTTTGATCGGCCCATTCCAAGCAGACCTTGCTTGGGATTAATAGACAACTTATTTTTTAAAAGGTTCCTCCAGTCAGCTGAGTATTATAACAAAATATTTATCTAACACTCCCCAATTTCCTGAAATTTAAAATTGTTAATGCCTCTGCAAATGCCGATCTTCCAGCTTCACTATTCTAAGGGAATATTTCTAATGATGAATCTAGTAGATTTTAAATTGAAAGTATTGTTGCAGTAACTGTAAATGCTTTGAAATGATTTGAATCATCTTATTATTCTATTTTATTTTTTGTCTTTACAATTGAAGTTCAACAAGAAATAAACAATTATAATCTGTAAATAACATTTAATCTCCCCACAAATTCCACTCTGTAATGTAATTGGATAAATTTTTATTCATCATTTACCAGACTGTTTGACAGTCTCTGAGACACTGGCATTATCCAAACCAGAACTAAATTGAACTTGATTCGTTCAATTTGGAATCAATCCTGATCAAAACCAAACTAAATTCGTACAACAGCACAAAGCACAAACGGAATTTCCACTTTCAACATGACAGAGCTACAAGCTTTACAAAGCTGATTTGTTATGATAGCTAAATATACTTAATAAAATAAATGGTTTTACCTTTTGATGTCAATAACCTCTCGTTCCAAACATCCACAATAATCTGCCAAAAAAACGTGCGACGCAAATTACTTATTAATTTAACGTAGACACATTCATCATTTAATATAGGTACCAATAACCAGAACACAGGAACTTGCAGTTCATATCAAAATATTTTTGAAAAGAACATTAAACTTTTCGTCTAAACAATGCACGATTGCTTTTACCTGTTTTTAAAGCGGGCGTCCACACAATCAGCTGTTTTCACTCAAACAATGGAACATGGAACATCAATAATATCACAAAAACAAACTTGCAATATGGTCGATGAGTGACATTATTGCGATATGTTTACTTACTTCGAATTTTCCTCTAGGCGCATATACCATATTATATAAAATGAGTCCTTTTGGCAAACAGAATAATTTAAATTTGTTTCAAAGAGTCACTAAGCGCACTCTGAATGTCATGAACCTTGATTGGAATACCCTTGGACGTCGGCGGAACGGGCAAATCGCATTCGAACTTTTTGTTTATAGCGATTTCCATTGGTCCTCTCTCATTTGAAATAAAAGCAATCCCGCCGTTGTCTGTGTTGGCTAGTGTTGGCCAGCATTAAGTTAAGACTTTATAAACAGTACAGGCTTGTATATAAAATATCCGCACGTAATTAGATTAAGAAGATAATTTTCTAACCACTTAACAATTAAATACAGCGTATTTCTTTTAATATACCTGAAAAACAAACATGGAATGAACGAAACTTAAACTTTGGTTAACTATAAAACTGATCCACCATTTTTCTAAAAACCACAGTTCCATTCTATTCTATCTTCTAAAATATCCGATTATGCCCTGATAGTGCAGCTTCGTTAAACAATCGCAACCAACTTGGGAGTATTCTGGTACTTTAGTCGCAGTTTTGAGACCCATGGACGAATTTGGGGACATGCGGATGTTTTCGATAGATTTTAAACACTATCTTGACGTTTGTCAGTTTAGTTCTAACCAGGCGTGATGGTCACACGTCACTAAATGTATGACCTTTTCGGACATTTTGAAATATTACATAAAATGAGTGGGTACAAATCATATACCTATAAAAAATCAATGTGAAAATGTTTTTATTGTTTTAGAATTAGATCGTAAGATAACAAATATTTTAGTACAACGTAAAAATAATAAAATCTGTAAACAAGACTGAAAATCATGCACTTCTGAATATGACTTTTGGTTCAGTATGTTTCAACAACTTTACTTATAAAATATTACAATATCTGCAGAAATACATTATTTAATTTTTTAAAAAATGCTTGTGGGTTAAAAAACTAAACCGAAAAAAGGAAAGTTTGGCTATTTTTTATATACACTAATATAAACTGAACAGAAATTCATAAACTCAATTATCTACATAACTAATAATTAGATCTTCTCCATTAATTAAAATATTGTCAGAAAGTAACTTCTCAACACTAACTGCCAAATTATTACACACATTTGATTGGTCCATTTTTTTATACAACCTCAGCTTTTTGGAGGTACTTTTGTGGTTATTATTTGGAAGTGTGCATTCTTCAGCAACTGCATCAATAACTTTTCCTACAGACCACTTAATTGAAACAAAAACTGCTTTATATTTTTGGATGACATCTACATATTCAATCCCAAAATACACTCTATCTGGCAAAGGAATTGATTTTTGACCTGTTGCTTTATTTTTCATTCTCATCAATTGAATCTTCATGGCCGTTTCTTGTTTCTTGTGATTTTGTTTAGCTGTGCAAAGACTCCTCTCAATCTACAAAAAATAATCTACTTATTGCACTGTCACTCACAAAAGTCTTAATGTGAATATCAAAATATTTATTTGCAGGGTCTTTGTAAGCCACATGAAAGTGAGATTTCCTTTGATTTTTTAAATTTACCCCCTTCATTTAGAAGCTATATGTAAATTTGAAACTTTATTATTTATTAAGTCACAAAAATACATTCTGCTATAGGAAAAAGTTTAAAATGCTTTGCTAGAAAATGTCTTATAATTCTATTTAAAAGTTACCTGAGCATCTACAGCAGATTTGGCATCATTGAATTGCCTAACTGGAATCGAAAATTTTTCTTTTTCCTGTGCTACTTCCACAACACTTTTTTCTTTACACACTGTTAAATGTCTGTGTTCTATACAAAAGTGTTTCATACATTTAGTACATAGTAATGGAATAACAGTTTTAACTTTGCAATTCAATTCCGAACATAAATACAGATTCTCACACTTTTTGGGCATATCATTGGTTATTTTTTCAGTTACACAATTTGAAATGTGATAGTGGAAATGCTCTGAACAAAATATTTCACCACAATCACACTGTAAAGGAAGAAAATCTAACTGATTACAAAGTTCATAGGTACATTGTTGACCTATATCAGGTAACTCCATATTTATTGATGTTCACTTAGAATGGGTAACATAATATCTGTCCACTTTTGTTCTTGTTCTTTCAAAGTCAGATGAACTTCCCCAGAATCGGCTTCGGGATCTGCTAACTCATACAAAGGAACATCAATATCATCTTCTGGAAGTTTATCTGCCCTCCATGCATCATCAATTAAATCAACAAAATGGCCTTCAACTGATACATCAATGTCACACATCTATAAATAATTGGATTTTAATTTTTATTGCCAAGGTATTGCTTTACCCAACATCGGGTAAAGCACATGTTTACCATTAGTTTTAACTAAATCATTACCTACCTTTCAGTAAAAATAACAACTGAAAATATATTAAAGTGTAACTCAACCAAGTATCGTAAACCTAATAGGATTGCCCAATCCCATAAGACATGTTCGCCAAAATTATCGATCGCACGTGGTCGCTTGTGACGTATACGAAGTCCTCTAACGGTTTTTGTGTATTTTGAAAATGGATTTGAAGGCGTATTAAACCGTATTATTTTGCGTTCTTTGAACAATTAAAATAATTTAAACTAGCGAGTAGTGCGCTTATGTTTGTGTTAATTGTATTTCTGTAAAAAAAAACTTGGACAAAATAGTGTTTTTAAGCTTTAACAAATACTTTAAAATTGTATGTGCTTGAGTGGCGAGAACTGAGAAAAACAGTATTTTTAACCTTAAACAAATACTTAAAGTGTTTTGTGTTCGTGCTGCTTATTAGCGGTGTTATTAATTAGGAGGTAAGCTCAAAATATTACATATAATAATATAGGTAAAGGTAAGAAATACATTTCTTTTACCTTTTTCAGTGGGATAAATAAAAAAATAGTTAGGTATGCCTGGAACGAGATGTGCCATGTATGGGTGCAATAACAACTCTATTGATAAAAAAGCAAGTTCTCGAAAATGTAGGTACTGAAAATGATAAATGAAAAAATTCTGGTATTTTAGGTTCTAAAGTAAATACAGAAGAGCTAGTTTTAAACGTTTACATTATTTGTACCAAAGTTTTGGAAACTGCACAAGTTGACATTAAAGACACGCCGGTTTACAATTTACATAATGAGTCCCAAAGCAACTCATCATTTTCATCAGTTTCCTCAAGTGGATCTAAGGATCAATCTGATTTTATTCAGGGTGCTAAGGAAACTACTGAAGATGCTTTGGAGTACATTGCAGGTTTCCTAGCTAAAAAACACAAAACAGATATCCCCAATTTAGGAGATTATACTTATAAAATTACCGCAGATCATCATTACAGCATTCCCTCTTGGGTACAACAGTTATCATATGGGGGCCTTATAAAGCCTTCTGATCATTTTTTGAAAAAAATTAAAAATGGAACTTTTATTTTGAATCCCATCATGGTGATTCATTTCAAACTTAGCAAAAAAAATATTTAATACATAAAAAGAATTGGTATTGGTATTAAAGATGGGCGTCTAAGCACTTATGCTACCAGATGGACCCGTTGTGCTCCCAGACCGCTCTAGAGGGCGTCCAGAATGCCGCCCCTCCTATAGAAGGTTAGCAACTCCTTTAGCCCAATACCGTGCACTGAGTCCGGATCGATCAGGGCCATTCCGAAAACTCCCAATCTTGCCCATGTCAAAGCAGGGCACTCAGTGAGCAGATGATACTCCCCTTCCATGCACCACTAACCAACGGACCATAAAGGGCCAAAAATAAAATAAAATTTTTAAGGATGTTAGTGACATATTTTTGCCCTAACAAAGAATTTAGGAATTTAACGAAAATATGTTGTTGGCAGCTTCATGTCTAGTTCCCCACACACTCATCCACATATTTTCAATTCTATGTGTGTATTGCTTTATCACCTAAATCAATGAAATTGCTGATTTGGCGTAAGAGGTTCAACGATTAGTCAGTTAAGCAAACAAAACAAACTTAGGAATGTATCCCAAAAACCAACCTTATTTTTTGGGCTGATAATGTTTGCTCAGTCCCGTACTTCCACTAGAGAACATCTGGTCTGGAGGATACTTACGAAGGAAAAATTTGGATTCATCTATTTCTACCACTATTGATCTGCCATCATTCAATATTTAATTCGATATTAACTTTAAAAATTTCGCCGCAAAAGGAGGCCAAATCAACAGTATGAGTGCTATTGGGTTCTAACCTATAATGTTTTGGAGATAATCCATACTTCAACAAGTATATAATAGCAAGCATCTGTCTTAAATTGAGATAGCTCCTGGTGAAAAGAGAATCTTTACTGATGCTCTGCTCCCTAGTGCACAATCGGCATTTCCAGGTCCACTTGTCCTTTAAAGCCACCACAGACGCTCAGTTTTTTAGCACAGGCCAACTGTGCAGGCCAATTTGTGCAGTTTAACTGTACCATTGCCCATTCCCACACACACGCACTTTTATAGCACAGTTCTTTCTATACAGCTAACTGGGTAAATTCACACTCACTAGTTTTGGCACGGTTTTTCTATACTTAGTAAAAGAAAATGGCTTCTCGAGACACGGCATTATATTGCATTGTGCTTGCCTGTGCAATAAAGGAAAAGCAAAAAAAGCAACGGTTGGTTCAAAGAAGCAAATGGACCAAAGATTGGACTTTTTTGACTGACCGTATTAGTGTTTCAATAATATCCTATTATGTTTATTCCATGTTCTTCATCGTCTAGGTTACTCGTTGAGGCATGTGGTGTCTCTTGATCACTTGAAAAGATCAGAAATTCATAATACCACAGGTTTGGAGTATAAATATCTTCTGTACCGGCCCCACTTACTTTGCTTTTCAATACTTTTTTTAATTCTTTCCTAAATGAACTCCTTAAATTATTTATTTTTTAACCACGGCTTCCCTATTTGCTCCCGTATCAACTTCTTTGAGTTTTTCGACCAACACATCATAGGCTGCGGACTTTTTATTTCTGTCACTGTATTCTTTACTCTTTACTTTCCATAAACATGGTAAGCTTTCGTATACCTCAATAAATTCGCTTAAAAACTGTTTGTTAACATTCGTCATTTTGTTGCTTACTATTTTTCGATTCTAAATAAACCTTAAAACTGAACGAGTCCATACACACTCAGTTTTCCAAGTTTGCGCAGGCTAAATTCAAGCACGGTCTGATTTTGCTCAGGCCAGGCCAACGGCCTGCGCAGTCGGCCGGACGTTCACACAAACGCACCGATATGCCTGCACAAACTAGGTTTGCACAGGCGGCCTGTATTAAAAAACTGAGCGTCTGTGGGGGCCTTTAGGTTTGTAGTACACCATACAGCTACTAAAGGTATAGAGACTAGGGATATTCTGATACTAGTAAATACGAGTAGGTACTCGATACTTTTGATTCGATATCAAGTATTTATAGCATTGAATCAATCTTGCGATACTTACTCGATATCGAAACAAAAGTACTTATTATCAACTCGAATCAGCCTCACCATTAAAAAAAAACCCAACGCATCAGACGAACATAATCTCTATCTGATCTATGGTGACGCACCAGCCAAGCCGAACTCGTCCGACTTCACTCGACCGAGCCCGAGCCAAAAGCGAGAAAGACGTCCGCCCTTCATTTTTTTTCATTGTCAACCAACATAAATTGTCAAACATACAAGAGATTGCTTACGAATAATTTTATTTATTGTAATCATGGGCTTATTATTCCAATGTTATCATGGAGTTTTTTGTTTAAAGTACGTGCTTAACGTGACGCAAACCTTTATTCTTTTCCTTCTTAATTTCGTTTTAGTTATTGTCCTTCAACGTTCATTGTTAGTTATCTCAAAATAAATAAAAAAAATAATAAAGTGCTAAAAGTATGATACTTTAGGAGTATTTATTTGAGTAGTATCGAAAAAAATTTGAGTTCTATCGAAATGAGTAGGTATCGATACTTTAATGGTATCAGAACATCCCTAATAGAGACCCTGCCTAATACTGATAATACGGGAACTTATGTACCAACTATAAAAAAAAATTAGAGAAGTTCATTCAAGATGCACATGCGTCAGATGTAAAATATCGTTTTTAACCAATGTATTGTTATGGGGCGTTTTGGTTGGTTTTGGTTATCCTTTCTTAAAATATGCCTAGATCTCCTTTAAAGTGCAGTTTATTTCTCTACGAAAATAGCAATGCCGCCTGAGACACAACACTGTTTTTTTTGGCCGAACCAGATGAAATTAAAAAAAATAATAATGAAGTTGAAGAGTTAAAAAATCAGTATTAAATGGTTTATTATAATGTGCACAAGTATATTCCCTTAACTATTCAAAGGAAAAGAGCTCATTAGTATATAATAGTTTTAGGTTATGGTGTTATGTAAATTGTATTTTCCCTTCAATAATCCTAGTCCCAATTGTTCATAATGTTAGTTATTCTTGTTTGTATTTTTAGTTTTCAAGAATCAAACAACCTATACAAATGCGAAAAACTTAAGGGGGTGATTGTTTGTTTACAATAAAGGATTTTTATTATATAAACCATGGGTCAAAAGGTCAACACCATTAGTGAGATCTTGCGCTACGCGGAAAATTGTTGATTTTATTATTATATTAAAAAAAAGTATTACTATTATAAAAACCAAACTTTCCGCATGATTTTTTTTTTGTTTTTTAAGTAATAAGCGGAGGGAATCAATTGACTACCCCTATAATTCTTCAAAAACTTTTTTTTGTTTTATGTTTTATTTGAAAACTTTAGTCTCCATCAATTTTTTTCATAAGACTTACAGTTTCCAAATAAAATAAAATCTAAAGCAGTTCATAACGAGAAAAAAAAATTGTTAGTGGACTACTGTCACCTCTTAAGGCGTTTCCTACTGATTTATTTAGGATTGCTCAGTTAGTTTAAATATAAAATACGATTAACTTAATCAAAAATGTATTATCTAATCATTTAGCTGTTCAATAATAAGAGTTTTAATTCAATAATTGTGAATTACACTAATGCAGAAATGACAGACATGTATTTTATGTACGGGCGTTCTGCCTATGCCGATATACAGGAACTTGTGAAGCAACTTTGAAAAAAACTGGAGAAGGTTCATTCAACAAACAGATCGTCAATAACTTTGGATGCGCCATTTTTACGACAGTGTCGTCTCCAAATATGCCTAAATCTGGTAAATTTTTACTGAGACGACTTAATTGAATGGAAAACAGTATTTAGAAACAAAATGGCGCAAAGTGTAGGTTAGAATATAGGGTGAAATATAGAGGCACGCACGCAAATTTTTATCGTAATAGATATATGATTAAAACTAACATAAGACTTTAAAGTTCCAGTTGCCCTCTCCCCAGGCACCAACCAAATAAAACCATTCTTGTACCTTTAGAATCTCTAAATTTTGCACAATTTTGCGAAACCAATATATAAAATTTTGCCAGAAAATTATGACCTTCCAAAAATTTTACGATTTTTTGTGCCGGACAGAATTTCTTTTGTATCTCTATCATTGTATTGGAATATAACGTAATTATTGGTAACGCATTTCATGCACATTCTAGTTCATGTACCAAACCAAGACTAACCAAAAATTTTAGGTTCCACAAAAAAAATTAACAGGTTGTCCAGATAATAACATAAAGATAAATGGTATATTTTCTCGCACTTCAGTACTATTTGGAGACATCATTAATTAGACATGTTTGCATTTGCGCATTTAGAAGAGGTCTCGCCTTCCTTCTTGGTTTAACAATTTGCTAACACTAATTTTAAATGGTATAACAAAAATGTTTGTTTGGAGGAACTATGATAATAATAATATAACTTAAATTAAACATTTGTTTTTTCGGAATAAGATAACATTGTTCAATTGCGCAAAATTAGGAAATTCTATTGCTGTAAACTTTTTTTAATTTGGATGAGGTCGGAAGGAAATTTTGAAATTTCAGAAGGTCATTACTGGCCCCAGGAAGGTGCGCAAAATTCCTAATCGGTTGCGCATAATTGCTCAAACTTGACATTCTTATGGTACCAGGAAATTTTAATTTGGTTGAGGTCAAAGAGGAATTTGAAAATAACTTTCCCATAATTATGCAAAATTCACAATTTATAATGGTGTAAAAAAGTTTTAATTTGGTTGGTTACTTTCGAAATTTTGGAAGGTCATAACTTTCCTCAAAATTCAAAGAATATAATGTAGGACAGCAAAAGACTCTGTTTTGATTTTATTTTTATCTAGAAAATGTGAGCAACATTTCGTATGTGCGTTATTTGAAATTGTTGATGATGATATCGAATATATATCGGAATTGACGGAGCATGGATTCCTTTTATGTCAATACTGGTGCCAAAAGAAAAAATTCCATTTTAAAACTACATGTCTATATCTGACGTCATACAAAGCGCCCTTCGATTCAGATTGCTGATTCTGACTTTTGATTGACTCCTCATCATTAGAAAATTAAGGTATGCTCATTTCTGGCACTTTGGTCACAGTCTGTTTGCCGATTCTATGCTTTAGATATGAAATTGGGAATGATCGATAAATTGGCGTGTATTCAACTTGTTGGATAATACTATCGAGATGTTAGGAAGGACTTAAACATTTAAAATTTCCGAATTTAGAATTCCTCAATAGGGAATCAAATATTGGTCATTTCGGAAAGGTAGTCGCTTAAATAATTTAAGTGGGACATCTGTAGAAAACACAAAAATTAAAGCCAGCGCTGGTATTTAAGTTGGGGAATGCAAAAGCGTTATATACAAGTGGTCGTTTCATGAGAGTTGGTTAGTTTTGGTGTACAGGTGTTACTGTAATTTTATTTTTTGCATATAATATTTATGTAATTATATCAGTAAATAAAGCAACAGCAAGAACACCCCATTCTCCCATTTATATAATTTATATAAAAATAATAAAGTTTACAGATTATTTCGGTATGGTAGGACATATTAGGGCTATTTTGATTAGCAAATTGAATCATGATAACTGTGTACTTTGTTGTAACGTTTATCCTCTGGGTAACATACCTATCATAGCCGTTCAATTATCAAGGGTAGGAGTCGCGCAACATGCTGACTCGCGAAAATTCTCACGGAATATTATTAAAAAGCGATAGCAAAATATTGGTTGCTATTTTTGTTATGGTTAAACACTTAATCGAGGTAGAGCGCCAGTCGACTGTTCTTAGTTGTTAGACAAAATTCATTTCACTAATTTATCCCGATTTCTAAATGAGATTACTGGGGCAATTTTTCAATTTAAGGGTATTGCTAGGTCACATTGAGTACTACGCAACGCGAAAATCTGTGACAAATATGACAATAGCCTATCATTTTTCATCCCTCTTTGGTTCCAATAGTTAAGACATATCTTTCGCAGTGGAGGTTTAAACTAAAGACCAAAGAAATTTCGAAAGCATTTAAATAAAATGCCATTAAAAAACGTGTTGATGGGAATTTAACAATAAAAAAATTTCTCGCAAGCACATTTGATTATATTTTCTAAAATAAGTAAGGAAATGTTTAGCTATATCCAATCAGGCAATAAAATATTCCTTTCGGTGACAATTTTAAATTGTATTCCAAAAATTATACAGGTTTTATTCAAAAATCTCGCCAAAATAAATACAGAAATTTCATATACAGGATGTTTCAAAATAAATGCGAAACACTTGAGGGGATGTTTCTGTGTTTAAAATAAGCGGTAGTTTGTTGTAGGGACAAAAGCCAAGGAAGATATCGCGCTACAAATATGATGGAAAGAGGAAAAATATTTTTTTTCTACCTTAAAAAAAACTACCTCTATCGTTCTTAACTTAATTTAAAGAAAAACGGGTTTATTAGAAACTTTCTGTATCCTGCAATTTTCTTTATAAAACTTAGTTTCCAAATAAAAAAATAAAATCTAAAAGATTGCATGTCGAAAAAAAATATTTTAGAAAAATAATTTAGTTAGAGGCTGTCAAACAGTTAAACAATTAAAATAATTTATTAATAAACATTTCTGAAACTAATTGATCTATTCATGCGCAAACTACGAATGAATTACCTTCTTGAAAAACATTATATTTTAACAATGTAACGCAAATAAAAACACAACAAATAATCAAGACTCCTAAGAAAAAACAAAAATACAAATTTTATAGCAAGTGTTAAAAATGCCTTGCGATATGATCATATAACGATTAGACCATATAGTGGCCCTGCTACATTTTCACGAGATTTTTACATTTTTTGAAAAAACATTGTCGTAAAAGTGCCGCATTCAAAGTTATTGACGATCTGTCCGCGGCCATACTAAAAACGAGATTTTAAATCTCGCGTATGAGCATGTTGAATGGACCCTTTCTTTTTTTTTTTAAGTTGCTTGACAAGTTCCTGTATATCCTATATATACAGGACTTCTATATCCCTAGTAGCTGTATCGACATAATAAAAGCATTTACTCTTTCAACAAATTAGAACGACCCTACACAAAATGCATCTCTGTCATTTCTGCATTATCATAATTCACAAATATTGAATCAAAACTCTTATCATTAACTCACTACAATTTTTTATCACATTATGCACTGCTTTAAATTTTATTTTATTTAGAAATGGTAAGTATTATGAAAAAAATTGAAGGAGACAAAAGTTCGTAAATAAAACAAAATAAAAAATTTATGTCACAGGATAAGTTTATCCTTAAATTTATTTAAGAGGAATGATAGGAGTAGTCTAATCTAATTCCCTCTACTTATTCTTGAAAAAACAAAAAAACATGCGGAAAGTTTGTTTTTATAATAGTAATACTTTTTTTAAGGCAAAAAATAAAACCATTATTTTTTTGCCATGCGATATTTGTGGGGCAATATCTTGCTAATGCTTTTGACCTGTTGACCCAAGTTTATATAATAAAAACACTTTATTTTAAACAAGCAATCACCCTCTTAGGATTTTCGCACTTGTATAGGGTTGTTTGATTTTTGAACACTAAAAATAGAAACAAGAATAACTAACATTATGAACAATTAGGACTAGGATAATTGTGAAAAATACTAGTTTACTTAACACCATAACCTAAAAATATCATATACAAATGAGGTCTTTTTCTTTAAATAGTTAAGGGAATATACTTGTCCACATTCTAATCAACCATTTACTAGAATTGTGAATACTTGCTTAAGATCCAATATGAAAAACAAGTAGTAATAACCAACAGTTAAACTTTTATGTTCACTTTATTTTAGTTCGCTTCATAAATTTGGGACCCTGTAGAAACCATGCTTTTACATTTTTTACATGTTCTTATTACAACAAAAAGTAAGAACAAGAATTCTTCTTAACATTAAAATGTAAGAAAGAACAAGAATTCTTCTTAACATTAAAATGTCATATTTAATGTATTTATAAACAAATGAACAACACAATTTTTCAGAGCAGTGCAGTATCAAGTAATTTTTTCTGGCTACAACTAACACAAAATGCCATTGACTCAAAAACTAAACATTTTTGGGAAGTATCTATCTGTTCCACAACTGGGAATACTGCACATACTCTTATAATTCTTTAACACTTTGTCCACAGAGTAAAATTGGTTCTGCTAGGTGAGCCAAAGAACAATATTTACCAGAATCCAAAAAATGACCCATTGCAAAATTTCCAAACACTTCATTTAGATGATTCTTTTTATGCCTCACTAGTAGTTGCTTTAACCTGCATTCATAGGAACATTCATCACACTTATAAATGTTCTTTTCACTTGGACTTTTATGTATAGTTAAATGATTTTTAAAAGAATATTTGTGAATAGTCTGAAACCCGCATACATCGCATTTAAACACTTCTCCCTTTCTAATACGTTCATGCTTCTTTGTGTGGCGAATAAGATGTTCTTCATGTTTACCTGAAACCAATCTTTTTTTTTATAACTTCCTATTTGGTTTACAAGTAAATTCAAAAAGAGTTTGTGGGTTAAATTATTGTTGATAAGTTTATTTGTACTATAAAATATATTTTAAGTTGTTTAGAATATTCTCAACAAATAACATAATTTGGATTTTAGGACAAATAAGTTTAGTGAAGAAGGTGTTATTTTGTATAACATTAAATTGTATAGAATTTGGTGAGAATTTAATAGTCAATACATATTAATGGATGTGTATTTCTAATACCTTGATATGAGCATTTGTTACATTTGAAAGGTTTTGCTCCATCATAAGTTTTATGAACCAAAGCATGTTTCTTCAAGGAATTTTTATGTAATGTCTGATAACTACATTCATCGCATCTATATATGTCTTTTTCTTCAGGCTTAGTGTGCTTCATTGTAATGTGAGTATTTAAGTATCTTTCTACAGGACTCTTAAAAGCACACTCTTGGCAGTAAAACATTTGACCATCTGAGGATGTATTGTGGGATATTATATGACTTTCCATATCGCCTTCATCTCCTGTTTGAAATGAACAATTGTTACACTGGTAAATACTTTTTTCTGTTTTAACCTCATCTTTTAAGGGATCCCCATTATTCAGAAGATATTTTGCGCCAGTTCTAAAATACAATGGTGATGTAATTTTCTCACCCCCCATTATTAATTTCAAATATTGAATAATTTTCTATAATTTCCTCTAAATTAGTGAGCACAACAATGATTTTAATTACTTGTGGATCACAGGATCTTTATTCTTATTGTCTTCAACAAATATGTTTTTTTTATCCATATTTTTCTCCAGATGAAGTAAATAGTAATGTCAAATCTATCGATCACCCCACAAACTGCTTAGTTAATAAATACCGATTTTTACCAATCACAACAGCATGTCCTAAAACTATAAAAAGTTAAAACCAGCATAAATTTTCCAAAATGGACGGCCAGAAGATACTAAAATTGAAATCACAATTGGACTTAAATTCATAAACTATATCAAGACAAATATTATATCGATCACAATCATACAAAAGAATTTTTGATCTTTACCAAGAATATTCTTCTTCTCTTCAATTTGCGTTTTAGTTGTAAATGTTCGACAAGACGCCTATCAAAGGATGATACTCGTCCAACCAAGGACGAAAACTAGAAGAGCTGTCGCCGATAACAAGTCAGGTTGGCCATCGTCTTTTATTGGCCACTCTACATTTTTGTGAGGAAGTTAAACAATAATGTAATTAAAACCAAATATTTGAATTAAGGGTGATCTATGCGTCACATAACCGGTCATTATTCTGGTTAATCACAAATTGAACAATACGGCACCATGAGAAGTAATTGTGCTCTCTTCTAACACCTTCTACTCAACACGAAAGCATTCCGTACATAATACGTTTATCAATTTTTTGGAAAATACAATAGGTACATTAATTGTGATCTGTGGTAATACTAACCTAATCCAAATCTTGCATTTTATATTAAACCGCGAAATATACTGTATATCGAAACCTACCTATATTTCAAATTACAGTTATCAGACATTTCACGGAAAACGATAAAACTCTGGCAACAGACACGTGTAAGTCAACTTTCATAGTGCATTTTGTATAGTGTTAATGAATGTAGAATAGGAGTTAAAATAATAACTGGTGAGTGCTAACACAAACGGCCTTACAGTTTTGCTTATAACAGAGTTAACTGACCCAAGGTGGGTTTATCAATATGTTTTAGTACTAGCGATATCACTGTAAATTAATGTCCCTATGTATCTGTTTTAGATAAAATGCCCAAACAATTAAAGGGGAAAGTCAAAGAATCTTCAAAAGAAAAACGCCAAAGGAAAAAGGAGTTTCAAGAATTGCAAAAACAAATTTTTACCATCGTGCTGCCTACTCTAGCAGTTGTCGCCGCATGTATCGTCGTTTATGTTTATTATAAAACTAAAGCCTAGAAATTTAGGTCGATATGAGATTAAGTAAATATAAAGTTCTTTCACTAAAATAATGTTGGGATTAAATTCTTTATTTTTATAAAATACTGCGCAATAAAATGTTCCGATCAATACAAAGTCGATTAAATGATAAACAACGAACCAAATAGCACATTGCCACAGAGTAATAGAGAGATCGTTGTTTTTGCGTTTAATTGGGCTCATCTCAAATTAGGATATTTACCCATTTTCCACATCCGTCGAGAAAAATTGACCGATAACAATTTTTTACGCACAAAACACCCAAGGCTCCCGGTGGGAATCGAACCCACAACCTCCAGCAAGTTCCGGTTCGCAGGTCAACGCCTTACCAACCGAGCCATCATCGGTCCAGCACAGACCGTGTAAGGAGCATAGACTAATCTGGTTTGGAATCTTAGATTCCACTATTTCCACTAATTTCGCGTTTCGAGTATGCGCAACCACTGAAAGGTGGAATTTGAATTCAGTTTTAAGTGCTGCATATCCAAAAGGCAAGCAGCTCTCTTCACTTTTCTTAGATCAGACTTTACATTTTTTTCCTATACTTCAAGCTGGATCAGTCAACAAATACGAGTACCTCCATTTCTGTTAGTTGAAGAGCTTCGCGTTTTTTATAAATTGAAAATTTTTTCTTTCTTTAGGCTAGAGTTAGGAATTGTCTTAAACATCAGAATTTTGAAAATACTTATTATCTTAAAAATTAAATAAATTTTTAAAAATATTTTCATTCGCTCACAAAATCTGCATTTCGAGAACAAAATAATAACCAAAAATGATCAAAACCATAGACAAATATTACATTGATTAATCAAAACAAAACAAGTAGAGCTGAATTTTAGGACAAGTATCATATGCCTTTAATGAATATTTTTCAATGAAAGTAACCTCATTGAGATCCTAGCAATTTTGACCAACAGAATTATAAGAAGAAGAGAAAAACCTCATTGGGTGTAAACTTTTCTAACCCAATCGTTTTTAGCTGTACACGTGCTTATTTTTTGGTTTTTTCAGATTGCATTAGTCAAAATTTATAAATATGTCGCTTTACAACTTCAAAAAAATCGCGGTGGTCCCCACTGCAAAGGTAGTTTAGATTAAGTGGTTTAATTTTTAGTTTTATATGATTATGTTTTAGGATTTCATTGATATTATGCTATCCAAGACACAGCGTAAAACACCTACTGTGGTACATAAACATTATAAAATTACCAGAATAAGAAGTTTTTATATGAGAAAAGTGCAATTTGCTCAACATAATTTCCATGATAGATTAACACAAATATTGACAGAGTTTCCCAAGCTTGATGAGGTGCATCCTTTTTATGCCGATTTGATGAATGTCTTATATGACAAAGATCATTACAAACTTGCTTTAGGCCAATTAAATACAGCGAGGCACTTAATTGATAATGTTGCTAGAGATTATGTAAGATTGTTAAAATTTGGAGATTCTCTTTACAGATGCAAGCAGCTTAAAAGAGCTGCTCTAGGGAGAATGGCAACTATTATGAGGCGTCAAGCATCAAATTTAACTTATTTGGAGCAAGTGAGACAACATTTAGCTAGATTGCCTTCTATAGATCCTTACACCCGAACAATCATTATTTGTGGTCAGTACCAAGTATATTTTTTAACAAAAGTTAAACAAAAAAAAAAGGTATATTAAAGTATGAGCGGAAAATAATGTTTTCATACCACATGTAATTAGGAGAAGTGCTTTCGGTATTTCGAGCACTATGCCCAAGTACTTTACACTCTATTTGTTATTGGTATTAAATTATCAAAAATTGAAATGCTTGGTTTCAATAAATTTTTGGTTTTCGTCCTATGGCATTTATATTTAAGAAAGAGATCTAGAACTATTTTTTACTCCCAGCATAGTTATAAATATTGTTTTCATCATCTATCAAGCCACATTAAAATATCATTCAATATCGAACACAAACTTCAGTTCTAAATGCGACAAATGTACAATCATTTTCTGTGTAAATGTCTATAGTGGATTCTATATAAATTATACAAAATATATTTTCTTTATATGACAGTATGAATTGGTATGTTTTATCAAAAATAGGTGCCTGCCTTTTTTTGTAGTAACATTTTACTTTAAAAGCTACTGAAGTTATGAGAAATGGTTATGTTATGCTATTGGACTTATCTACAATAAAAAAAATATTGGCATGAGTTGGTAAATAAGACCACGTTTTACTTACATTTTCTACTGATCCTGAAAACCTAAACTGAAAATTTGAAATACAATGCATTACTATATTAGTGGTAATTGTTTCTCAATAGCAAATTAATTACAATAAAGTAGCAATAATAATACCCATAAAATAGACATCACATCTCCAAAAACATGGAAGTCTGGAGCAAATAACATGCACAAAAATGGAATTGTAAAAATTAAGAACATAATAATAGTCGTCCATAAATTAAAAAAGCAAGTTCTTCACTTTTACATTACTTCGCAATATTCTATATTAAAAAATGTGTTTATATTTTTAGGTTTCCCTAATGTTGGAAAATCTTCTTTCATTAATAAAATCACTAGAGCAGAAGTAGAAGTTCAACCCTATGCCTTCACTACCAAAAGTTTGTATGTAGGACACACCGATTACAAATATCTTCGGTGGCAAGTTATCGATACTCCTGGAATTTTAGATCATGCCCTTGAAGAGCGAAATGTTATTGAAATGCAAGCTGTTACAGCATTAGCTCATTTGAGGGCCTGTGTTTTATATTTTATGGACTTATCGGGTAAGAAAGACTACAGGAATGGAAATACGCTCTATGGATAGTTTAATCTTTTGATTCTTTTCCCAGAGCAATGTGGTCACACATTGGAAGAACAATGTAATCTATTTGAATCTATAAAGCCATTATTTTCCAATAAACCCATTATAATTGTGGTAAATAAAACAGATATTGTCAAATTAGAAGAACTTTCAGAAGAAAAAAGAGCTGTTGTAAAACATATAGAGGATGACCCAGAATTTCAAATATTACCGATGTCAACAGTCACAAATGAGGGAGTAATGGAAGTGAAAATGGAAGCGTGTGAGAAATTACTTAGTTTTCGAGTAGATAAAAAAATGAGAACCAAAAAGGTAACTTGCATTTGAGAAATTCCTACCATTCATACTTCGATTTGAAAGGTATTTTTTTTTTAATAGGTGGATAGCATATTAAACCGTTTACATGTTGCAATGCCAAAACCGCGAGATAGTAAAGCAAGGCCACCTTGTATCCCTGAAACTGTTCAAATCAAAAGATTAGAACAGGCTGCAAAGCGTAAACGCAAACTAGAAAGGGATATTGAAATAGAGGAAGGAGATGATTATGTGTTAAATTTGAAAAAACATTACACAGATATTCCAGAAAGTAAGAGCCAAGATTGAAAGTTTCAGATATTTTGTTAACATTATTTTTATTATTATGCATATTAGTTGTTTTACCATTCTATTCTATTCTTAAAACGTGAGTTTAAATATCCAAAGGAAATTTGTCAGGTCATTCACAAAATAGGTCAAAACTGGCAGCAACTTTGACAAACACTATGAATGGTTTAATTTCGATGCTTGAGGTGCTAGAAGGAATTTTTCATGATTTGCATCTGCCAATCAAGTCACCATAGATGTAGTTTACCTATGGGGACTGAAGTTGGGATAAATGATGATCGAATATTTAGAAAAAAAAACTTCTGAAATCACCAACAGCAAACAACTAAATTTGGTGTTCAAATTCAAAATGTCAAAAATCAAAGCCTCGGACGTCTCCACTGATGGGTCAAAATTTTTACTCATACTGAAATACACAAATCATAATCACATCTGTTTAGAATAGATGTATCAGTCGGCCCCATAATATTAGGCAGGCTTTGGTCAATGTGCCGGTGGTTTTCTATTAATAATTGTTGTTAATAAGAGTTAAGTAAGGTTTTGTTTAGGTTTACTGGTCCCTGGCAGGAATTTTATCCATAATTTATCTGGTGTTCTTTGGATATTTCATCTGCAGTTTAGTATAGGTTTCTGGTATGATTCATAATTAAAATATAAAAATAAAAAATAATAGGTAAACTTCCGTAATATGCTCGGCATTTTGTAGATGAGCGTGAAGATATTATCCCAGAGATTTGGGAAGGTCACAACATAGTGGACTATATTGATGCAGATATATTTGAGAAGTTAGAAGAATTAGAAAAGGAGGAAGAATTAAGAGAGGCAACTGGGATGTATGTAGTGCCAAAGATTGAATTAGATGAAACTATGCAGGAGATTCAGAAACTTGCGCTACAGATTAGGTTAGCCACATTCAGTTTTTCAATTGTCAATATTGAAAACACAACATTAAATAGAATGTGTGTTCGTTGTGACATTTGATTTTACTTGATTTTTTTTAGGCACAAGAAGGCCATTTTGAAAGATGAAGCACGAATCAACAAGCAAAGCAAAAAGCCGGTCGTGCCGCGTACATCACGTGCCAAGGTAATAATATAACTTTATTTGAGCATCATAGAATATTTATTCTAATGTTTTTTTAGGCAAAAGATCGTTCAGTTTCCAAACTCCGAAAAAATATGGAGAATTTGGGTGTGGACATGTCTGAAACAGAAAATGCGAACTTTACAAGGACTCAAAGCAAAGGAAGGTCAATAGGCCCTGTGGCCAAACGTGCACGAATGGATACAGGCAAATCAGAGAACATGCCTGTCATCCGGGCCAGCACTATGTCGAAACCTCCCAGAAATGAACAGGGAGTTAAGGACTTGGTGGTGAGTATTTCATTTTTGTCTGGATTCTGAAAAGACGATATATTTTTTTATAATTTAAACTTTTAATTTTCAGATGAAGAAAAAGTTATCTAAAATTGCTCACAGAGCAATAAGCAAAAAAGTTGCCAAAATGGGTCTAAAAGGTGAAGCTGATAGGTTTATTGGAAATAAAATGCCTAAACATCTGTTTTCGGGAAAAAGAGGGGTTGGTAAAACTGACAGAAGATAAACGTTTGATTTGGGCAATATGCCTTATTTAGAATTTGTTAAAGAGCGAGTAGTTATTACTTAAATTGCATTATACAATTTATTCGCAAAAATTTTCTATAAAAAAAAAAGTCATTCAGAACAAGTAAAATTAAATTGAAATGGTTTCAATGTCTCAAAATATTTTGTAATGAAAGTGTAATAAATATTTATTTATCATTCTATTTTATTTTCGCGAACCGGAAAAATTGGAATAGGTGTTAACATTTTTGTAGTGAGAATGTGAATGCGTCAATGAATTAAAATTCAAATTCCACATTCCCTATGTGGCACTTACCTATCCCGCTCGTCGATTTCAATTCTATCTTCAAAAATGTTTTAAAAATCGGCTTACCACACCAGACCAGAAAAAAGCATGCTTCCACTCTGCGACTTTTACCCTCTAAATTTGAGAAAATTGTTATTCCAAAAAAGGTGGACCATGATTGGGATAAACACACTTCACTCTAGGTTTTTAAAATTCTCAAAAGAATAAGGTTCTAAAATGATTTTATATTCACCATGTCAGTTGGAGACAACAGACGCTTAAAAAAATCATTGCATACAATAAAATTATGAAGTTTTCGTGAAAAATGCCAATCTTAAGCCTTGTAACCTTGCATAAAATTATTCTATTTATCAAAGGACTTAATAGTAAGGCCATTTTTAACAATGCATTTTTATTTCACATTTTGCCAACAAACAATTCCAAAGTATTTCCTTCTACAAGTTTAAAGAAATTTCTTCCCCATCACTACTAAACTGAGATGCCACCCAGGCGAGGCCCCACTTTAGGTTGGTGAGCATATATTTCAATGCTTTGGTCCATTGTTCTTCAGAGTTCAGCTGAATTCTGAAAATTGCATGTAAATGATTACAACATGTCTAGCTACAAATGAGTTATCTAAATTATGACATTAAATGAAATTAGACTCAATCAACTATGAAGTAGAGTGAGGTTTATACAATTTAGGCCATCAACTTGTTTATGTTTTATTTTCAGAAGAAGAATAATTTATGTTGAAGTGCAATTGAGATATCACCATACTTGATGGAATAGCTGACATGATCTGAATCCTCGATTTTTCCTTTATTGGTGCGATAAGGAAAACAAAAGACCTTATCATTTTTTTCCAGTTCCTCTACTTTTGCTTGGAATTGTTGAAGACAATCCAAAAAGGCAACCATGCCATTATCAAACTTTGTGTCCCACAAAAAACGGAAACCTCCAGCGCCATAGAGGGGAAGCTCCTTTTGTTCCTGGATATCCTAAAATAAAATACTTTACTAAAGCAAATATATAAAGGGATAATTCTTAAGCTATTTAAGAAGCGATTCTAGATATCTTTGTAAAATTAGGTAAATGCATTCTGCTTAAAAACACACTATTTTAATTTCGGCCAGTGGCGGTCCATATGTGATTTGTATGGCATATATATTTCAACAAAAATGGTAGAACATATTTTCAGGTGTATATTTTGTTTAGATAGTTTAACCATTTCTTGATAAAAATAATTAAATTAATAATGCCACACTTCACTACAGTGACTAATAATCTAAACTAAATCTTTTATTAACCAAAATCACTTACTTACCTCAATATAAGAATGGTTTCCATATGGAACTAGCCTATATCTCTCAAAGGTTAAATCAATTTTTCGAGCTAATGCAGATAACAACAAAGCAGTTTGTCCCCAGGCTGCATTGATTTCTGACCAATCAACAGGCGCTGAAGGCAGTCTTCCCAGACAAAAATTATTTATCGTTCCAAAATGTCCTTTGTGCCAAATGTGAAATGTAGCATTAAATACATTTGTTCTCTTCAACTTGTCCAATTGATTGTTAACGTGACTTAATTGGTAGTCTAAACTAAAAGTATTCAAAAAATTACATAAAAGATAAAGATGGTTTTCAGTTATGTCTGCATGCATCAGGAATGGTCCGAATGTAAAATTTAGGAAAAGGGTTTTAATATAGAAGGATAACGCTAAAAAAACCATATTTACACAGTGAATAACTGCTATGAAGCTCGGTTTTAGAAAGTTTTAGGCACCTTTATACACAATTTGGTCCAAGTCAATCTGAATTTAGCGCAATAACATTGTCTAAGAAGCTGCTTCATTTGAGAAAATCACCACTTGATATGTAAATGAAACCGTGTTATTTTACTCTCATTATGAAATTCCAACCAAAATTTTTATTTTTTACTTTTGTCGCCGCTACGTCCTAATTACCATGTTTTTTCTTCTTTTTAGTCTAGTAACTTTTGTTTTCTACCAACCTGCAGTAAGTAATTTAAAAAAATACTTATGCACGTCTTGGCCATTTTTTAGAGGAAACAGATAAGTAATTAAACTAATTAAAATCTAACCTTTTTCCCTCATCCTCTGCAACAAGCCAATCTCTCTTATGCCTAACATATTCTTTCCAATACCGGTCTTCTTCCTGCGCGATTCTCATTGAAACATCCTGTTGCTCAGCAATAGCTTTAATTGTTTCATTTTCCTCATTTTGCAAGGCTTCTAATTCTTCAAGTAAACGTCGAGTTTCTTCGTTGACATCTTGCAATGCTTTTTCTAAATCCTGAAGTTTTGGCTCATCATTTTCATTTTGTAACCTAAAAATTTATTTTCAACATTAACTTCTGTCATGTGTATTTTCTTTTAATTGTAAATCTAGTAACTTCTCTTCTAGCAATAATCACAGAAAAATATTATTCTTATTAACACACTTTGTTCAAGACAAAGTTGTAATGATTGAAAATATCTACCACCCTCAGTAAAAATTCAAATTATTGGAAAGTTTAAAATAATTTAGTTTCTTTAAATAACATCAAACACATAAAAAAAATGTAAATCCAAATTAGAGAAAATTTTACCACAAGAGTCTCATACAAAAAAAAAGTGTATTAGTAAAGTAAATGATTAGAGGATAGCAAAATTTTAATGTTAATGCTACTTTTTCAAAGAAGCGGCAACATCGCAGCTTTAAAAATATTTTAGAGCTGATGAAATTGGCTAAATTTTCTAAGGTCTAAGGTACCATCAACCACAAAATATCCCATATTATACAAATATGACAGAAGAAGTTTATACTCATACCATATTTTCTGTATCGCCATTAGTTTTGGGTTTGCATTTTTGGAAAAGAGCATGAACACCATGAGTGAACCCATGACTAAAATACTGGAAATGTTGGAAATGAGTTGCGATCCTGGGTAACGAAGCTGACCACCACCCCATAACACCTTGCTCCATGTATAATTCGGTATTTTTGAGTAATGAGTAAAAAAAAAAGAATATATGGTATTAATTGTATTTACCTTGCATAATGCTTATTGTAATCATCATAATCATTTTGAGTTATTTCAAGTTGTTGTTCCAATAATTCAATTAAATAGTCCGCACATTCCTCACATAGTGGATGATCTATATTGGAACTGCCAGAAAGATGATCAAATAATGCAGCTTTGATCTAAAATAAAAATTATTTTCTTCGGTTAACAGTAACAACACAATACAATTCTGCAAAGTGGTAATAAAATAAGTTGAGGGAGAAAAAAGTGGATACAACTTAATATCAACAACTGTTTTTCAGTGAGAATTATGAGATTGACAATTAAATGTAGGAAAAAAGACTTTAGTGACATCTTTATTCAATAATGGTTATTGTTTTGTCCGAGCGGAAACGGACTTTGGCCGCAGCTGGCACCGCAAGAATTCGCAAAAATTACTCAAGACAGGATCAAAAGATTTTTGATTACTTAACTTAATTGACCCTACCTCGCTTTTGGTCTTTCTTTCGGAGGGGCCGACCCTTGCTGTGTCCTCTGTGCCTCGGGTGGTGAGGAAATTTGTTGATCACCACACATATGACCTGATGTGTTCAATGGCACTTTTTGAACCACACGATGAGAGCGACCAATTTAGCGCTTCACCGTGATTTTTAGTGGAGCATGCGCCTAAGGGCGCTGGCGCGTATAGATGGCCAGTTAAGCTCAAGACTTTAATACCGCGAAGAAAGGAAGAAGAATAACTTCTTAGTGCTGTACTCGCGGCCAATACATAAGTTATAGGTTTATATATATATATATATATATATATATATATATATATATATATATATATATATATATATATATATATATATATATATATACACAAAACGGTAGTCGTGACCGGCTAGTTGAACAACAAATTTTAGTTAATTGGGGTATCGGTCCTGATGAGGGCTCAAATAAAAGGACACTAAAGTGATCCGGAACAACGATAACAAAATTATATTAGATTGGTACATAAAACCGACCAGTTCGGGGAGATATATGAATTTCCACTCTTACCATACAACGAAAACAAAAATAAATTTGGTCATAGCATTAAAGACACGAATAGAGAGGATTTCTCACCCATCACTAAGACAAAAAAATCTTAATAAGCTTTACGACATGCTGATTAACAACTCATACCCAAGTAGGTTAACTAAAAAATTGTTATATAGCACGACCCCACTAAGAGCTCCAAACCCGCGGAACACGGTCGTCCACTCAGATAGCCCAGAAATGGACGATCTGAGATGTTTTTATTTTTCATTGCCATACATTAAAGAATTAACGACCACACTCACAAAAATTCTGAGAGCACAAACAAATATTAAGATAGCATATAAACAAACAAAAACATTGGGGAGTGTCTTTAGCAAACTAAAAGATAAGGATGAGGTACAAAAGAATTCAGAAGTAATTTATAGCATCCCCTGTAATCAGTGTGATCAGGTATACATAGGACAGACATCGCGAGTACTTAAGGATAGAATTACGTCACACAAGAGTGATTGCAGACTTAATAAGAACACCTGTTCATTAGCAACACACTCTAACCAAATGGATCACGATGTTAACTTTGTTGAAACAAAAATTCTCCATAAAGAAAGCAACCACAACAAAAGAGCAATTTTGGAAATGGTGGAGATCTTCTTGGAACCGAAATCGGTCAATAAAAGATCTGACATTGATGGCCTCAGTGTGATCTACTCTAATGTCCTAACTTTACAACCAACCGTCAATCGAATTGCGTTTGCTGATAATAGTGTCGTCACAATGTAATTATAATTTAGAAAAATAGTCCCAAGCCTCTATACATTAGGTGCCTTGTAAACAAAAAGGAGGTAACAAAAGGAAAAAAAGAAGGGAAAAAAAAAACTGGACGGCTGGCGGTAGTCATATTAATAAAACTTTTCTGTCATATTAATAAAACTTTTCCATCATTTGCGTTTTGCGTTTGAAGTAAAATTCGTTTAAATAAAATGTAACAACAATTTCGTCTAGATGGCTGCCCTCGGTTATAATAATTAACGGTCGTATTTGATTCTTTCTGTTATCCGGATGAGTTTGGTGTTGGCCTATAATGGCACTGTAGCAGTAAGTACTTTAACTAGAAGACTTTAGTATTAAATAACTAAGAGCCGCTTTCATATTGTAGCCCCTGAAGAAGAAAATAAACATTTTCGAAAGCTTGGTGTAGCACAAAAGCCTTTTATTTGAGCCCTCATCAGGACCGATACCCCAATTAACTAAAATTTGTTATATATATATATATATATATATATATATATATATATATATATATATATATATATATATATAAATTCATAAAAACCCGAAAAAATAATAAAATGAAAACTAAACAGTTATTATCTCAGCTTGATCACAAATATGGGATCATCAGAAAAACATTACATGAACTACATATAGGATATTAAATATCACTTTTCACATTTTCACAGTTACTTATTCAAGACACCATTCTTCATATTTCTTCATATATTCTTTATATTGACCGGTTATTATTATATTATAATATATATTGAATATTAGTTAAAATCCAAACTTAAGTAGAAGAAAAAAAGGATTTGAGACAGTACAATCTTGATAATCAGGAATATTACATGTAAAACATATGAGCAAATTAGGCAGACATTCAAATTACTGCATTATGCATTTAAATGCATTGCATTGACACCAAAAATTATGTACTGTTAGTATTGGCTAAAAATGTCTATCAATTACCATCTATTCTTGTACCCAGCAAAACTGTAGTAAACAAACACTAGTTTGCATACCTTAAATTGATGACTTAGTAAATCCACCTCATTTTCATCTGAGATTAACATAAAACCATTAGCTCCATTTCCAGAATCTGATAGCCTGCAAGGTGGTACATAGTGATCAAAACTTGTTGCTTGAGACTCCAATTCTACGTCTGGTTGAGAATGTATAGGTACTATAAAATCATAACAATAAATTCTGAACAATAAAAGCTCAATAAAGCTTACGGTTAAGCTCTGCCGAAATATGTTCACTGAATGAATTTAGAGAGTCCTCGAGCTTCAACGGCTGGGAACATCGTTGACATGTAAAGGACGCAAAAAGTTTATCGTCACACATATTCAACTACTTATTTATTAAGGTCAAAAATCATAAAACTAGTCTATGATCACAAAATTAAAAGTATTTTTAATACTGGTTGAATAATTAAAGTCTTATTATTTTCTTTAATGCGTTGTATAAAGTTTTTTATTTTTTATTGACCTTTTTACTTCGATTCAATAATGCGTTTCACTAATACAGTTGGCTGACTTTTTACGTCTATTTATATCCATACCATATATATATATATTTTAGTAAAGTTAGGCCAATCTGCCGTTGGTGATTCGCCCAACCACGACAGTTGGTAGCATTATTGTAATTAAGCAGTGTAGCGTGTTGGTTTCTGGGACACCAGATATAGCTTAAATTGTGATTTTCGTCGATATTATTTGTAAACGACAAGCAAAGGTTCCACTACCTATAAAAACAAAATTCCACCAAAATAAACAAAGTCCATTTTGTTCGAAAAAAAATGGAATTGTGCCTACTGTCAAAAACTCGCTAGTTATAAATACATACACTTTTAATAGCAAAAAATAAATGCAGAAATACATGTGAAAATTCCATCGTGTCTACCGGGTTTTAGTTTGCATTTTGACTGCCAAATCTTGCTAAATTTAAAATCAGAAACGTCAATGCATTTATAGTTGATTCCCAAGGAATTAATTGATAGAATATAACAGACGCCTGATTAACTCTTTTTTGATCGAAATTGACACGTTCGGCAATGGGCGAATGATCTTATTTAATTGGTTTGTTACATATTTACTGGCCAGAAAAGAAGAAGAAATCCTGATATTGCTTTGAACAGAGAAAACGACTCTTTTTGAACGTGTATTTAACGGTTGTGATTATCATTTGTGATTGAGGCTGCAGAAGTAAGATTTAAAAGTAATTTTAATTGGTTAATAGGAACAATATACCCGTGTTAAATATTTTTTTATTTCCATTATAACAAGATAGAAACGCTGTGACACTATGAACGGTAATGACACGTGTTCCGTGAAAGTTGCTGTGCGTGTACGGCCATTAGTCCCGTTCGAGATATCCAGGGGGTGTAAAGAAGTCCTGGAAATAGTTCCGGAAAATGAACAAATTTTAGTACGCCCAATCGACAAGCCTTTTACGTTTAATTATGTCTTGGGCGTTAATTCCACCCAAGTTGATTTGTACGAGAGATGCGTGGAGCCGCTTTTACAAAACTTATTTGAAGGTTAATATAAAACATTAATTTTTATTATTTGTACAATTTTTAAGTTTTTTAACGACTTAATTTTTTTCCAGGATATTCTAATTGCTCTTATAAAAAATGATTTTATGCATAAATAAGAAGAAAGCGGGCACACTTTTTCTACAACTGTTCTAAAAAAATCTAGTTGTATTTTTTTCATGGCGCAAAAATCAATTTTGTCATATTGGTTTTAAAATGGGCATTACTTAAAAGACTTGATAATTTTAGTATAATGGGTGTGGAAATAGTGCAAAAATAGTTATATTTACCACAAATATTTTGAAATTTTTGTAGTGAATCGTTTATATTGTTATATTCTACATTTTAAAAAATATTTCTGTAGGATATGCCATTGGCATATCCAAAACGATAATTAAGAATATTGGAGAGAATTTTAAAATTTAAAATTGCATGACCGTATCAAAAAATGATAAATAGACACAAAAGCGGCACTTGTTGTTGGTTAGTTTTAGTTTATGTAGTTTTGGTTATATAGTAAGTGAAATATTTTAACATTTCCAGAACCATATGCTTATAGAATATTACTTTTTAGTGTAACTGATTTTTTTTATATAGTAATATATTGTTTTGTGTGTAATTATTACAGAGAAACCTAAAGTTGCCACGCTTTAAAAAAATGATATTTTATTTTAGATATATAACATAATTGAGAGAAAATTAGGTTAGAAAGAATTATTCAGAAATACCTCAATAAATTGATGTTTGGGGTGGGTTCCATTATAATTGAAGTCCTCTCTGGTATGATTTCTAAGGCCATAAACTGTATAAACTTATTTTAATTCAGGCAAAACCTAACACTAAAAATCTAACAATAAAGAAAACCTAACACTAAATCAAATGCTAACACTAAGCAAAACCCAACTACACATATAAAAAAATCATTAATGGCGTCCCAAATGTTCAAACCGGCGGCCATCATTCTCAATGCAAAGCTGCATTGAAAGAGCAGCAGTCTCTACTTCAACCATCCAAATTCCTTGAATGCCATTCCTGTGTTGCATAGACGATATCTTTAATTCTGCCCCACAAATAAATTAAATAAAATAAATTATTGATTATTGGTACTATTTCTATGCTACGGTTGAAAAATATGTTGAATAACCCCCTTAATTTGACAAGATAGGAAAAAATTGTTAAAATGAGTTGTAAGACTAACACTTCCTGAGATATGGTCCTTTATTAATGGGCTACCTGGTATATATATATATATATATATATATATATATATATATATATATATATATATATATATATATATATATATAATATAAAATCTTTTTTTATCGTAGGATTTAATGTTACCATTCTTGCATATGGTCAAACTGGATCTGGAAAAACCCATTCTATGGGAACTGCCTATCAAGGAGAGGCTCATATGGGGGTTATACCTAGGGCTGTGATACATATATTTGATTATATCAAGGACAATTTCTCCATAGATTTTACTGTTAGTGTGTCTTTTATTGAGCTTTACAACGAAGGAATTTTCGATCTCTTATCTGATAAGCCTCGAGACCAATGTGGATTAGAAATTCGCGAAGACGTCAAAGGTAGAAATTTGAAACAGCAGAATTTCATGATTTATTTCTTCTGTTGAAATTTTTCAGGGAACATACTTATACCGAATTTAACTGAGACAATTGTAGAATCTGCCACCCAAGTTTTAGATATACTGACGAAGGGTTCCAATGGACGAGCAACAGCTGCTACAAGCATGAACTTGCATAGTTCCAGAAGTCACGCTATATTTACCATTAACATTGCTATGCAGCACAAATTTGAAAGGTAATTTTTAACCAGTTCAATTTGATTAGGCTTTGTTTTAAATAATGATTTAAAATAATATAAAATTCTGTTAATAAAACGATTTTAAATTAAAAAAAAGTGCAGAAGATAATTTGATCCTGAACAAAAGCCTTTTAGATTTGTTTAGTGGGTATACCACATATGTGACAAAAACAACAACATTTTGCTCATTTATGATTTTCTGTACCTTTAAAAATTCAATGAAAATATGTTGTAGAAATCAAAATAAGAACGCAAAATTACACCTAGTTGACCTAGCTGGATCCGAGCGACCCAAGAAAACTGGAGCAGTTGGCACTACATTTAAAGAGGGCGTAAATATAAACAAAGGACTTTTTGTGCTGGGAAATGTTATCAGCTGTTTAGGAAATGATAAATCGCAACAAAGTTTTGTGCCATACAGAGACAGTAATTTAACACGGCTATTGAAAGGTAGGTTTGAATGAATTCTGTGCATCAAAATTTATCTGACGATTTTAGACTCCCTTGGAGGTAATAGTATGACCCTGATGATAGCATGTGTTAGCCCTGCTGACTATAATTTGGAAGAAACTCTTTCGACCTTGAGATATGCTGACAGAGCGCGAAAAATTAAGAACAAACCAGTGATAAACCAAGACCCCAAATCTGCAGAAATTAATGAATTAAAGCGGCAGATCAAACATTTGCAGTTGCAGATTGTAGGGCAAGGTGTCCCAGTAGTAACAGAGATTGAGAGTAATAAACTCTGTGAATACAATATGTTAAAACTAAAAATTGGAGATCTACATTCCCGCTTGACAGAATTAGTGATGGACAAAACATATCTGCATGAAAAAATATTAATTTTGCAAACAGCCAATGAAGATGTCACTGAAAAAATCCAACAAGTTCGCGAAGAATATGACTTGGTACTAGAGAATTTAGGTACAAACATAGAGAGTAATGCTGATGTCAAGGAAAATGTACTCAAATTTAGAGAGATTCGAGAAAAACTAAGTCTTCTGCAGTTAGAACTAGTTAAGACTGAAACTGAAATGAGGTATGTTTATAGAAGTTTACAAACTTTTTTAATGTGGATGGATTTTGAAAACTAAAAAAAATTATATGTAGTTAAGATTATACCAACTTATCTCAGTGCCAACGTTTTAATGTTTTGTTACGTCGGATCTATAATGTAGGCTTCCTTAAACTCAAAATTTATATTCATGTTATTAATTGTTAATATTGTTAGGTATTAATAGTTATGATGTGGAGCCAGATTTAGAGTCCGCAGCTCCATAATATTCACCCAAGTTATTCTCATCGCACAGTTACACATCCTTACAAAAAAATTTCTATATAATATTTTTTATTTTCATACCGGGTTGGCCATAACTTTGGTAACAAACAGACGGGAGCCATGGGACTAGTACAAGGTGGCAAAATCTGTTAAAAAAATATTTTAAGAACTATTTAAAATTAACAAAAAAAAAGGAACCACATAAAATGCCTCAACTTTTTTCTGTTACATAAAGCCTTATTTATATAAATAGAATCTGGGCAAAAAGATGCATGACAAGGAATTGTAATAAATTAAAATATGCGTAGGGTTATCCATACGGATGCAATATTGGACAACGCAACATGGAAATCTTTGAAATTTAGCAACCGTTTTCACTCTTCAAGGCAAATTAGTGTATTATTTTGTGATCAAACTAATATTAAAATTTACATAAATGTTTGAATATGAGATTCGTTAGCGTCATAATGTATACATCACGAATTTATTTTTATCTTAAATTTCATGATCAGCTAGACAACATTTAAACTGTTCTAATAATCTTTATGAGTATTAATGATACATAGATATCCGCTGCATTGCCCTGAGGTTGATAATAGAACAAAACGTCAGCACTGAGAGGCATTTGTTTATTTCGTTTTCATAGTTTAAGTAAAATATGTGGGACTATAATGCTTATTAATTAATGGGTACAATACGTCAAATCGTTAATGATGCTTTTCACTTTACCAGAGAGTAAAAAGAAAAGTGAAAGTGTTGTAACCTTTTAAATAGTACATAGGCTGCAACTCATTTTATTTTTATGAATCTGGGTTGGTTGACCAGAATGCGGAAATTCATTGCATGATGTCTTTGTTATGTGTTCCTTAAATACTGTTAATATAAGGTAACAGTAAATTTGTTATATTCATATGTAATATTATTCATTGGAAATGAAAGGATTGGATTTAATCAAATGCATTACAAACTGTGCACTGAAAATCTCTTTTTTACTTTGGAAATACAGGAAAAACAATGTGGTCACATTTGGTTTAGAATTTCTTGTTTTTGAAGATTAATTTATAACATTTCGGCTATTAATAGCTCAAAATATGAACCCCTCGTTATAACATTAATATCTTATATGCCAGGTGTCCCAGTATCAGATATTTGAAAAGAAAAGGGGACCAAGAAAATTCATTAAAAATTAACTTTAATCACTAATTCGGTTACAAATCAATTCTTGGAGAATAACTAATTTTATTAACTAATGAATTATAAAATAATAAAATGCGGAATACCATTTCAAAAATGAATAAAATATTTCTCGATAGGAATAGTCTTTTCTAATTATCAAGATTGCCATGAAAACAAATTTTGTTTTCATCTGACCAAACGCTAAACGTCTTTCACGTCGTTATTTGATGCTTGTCAAAGTTTCTGGATTGCCTACCTTCTTAATTAGTATAAATGGGCTAAACATTTATTGCACTGCAAAATGTCTTATTTAAATTCATCGTTATGCAGTGAATAGAAATCTCCGCATTGGTAACTAGAAAAAATGAATATTATTTCAATACACATTTTGCTACTTAAATAATTCAATATTGATTAATTGATTAGTTTTGGTCAGTTGACTAAACCTAATTATTAATGAATAAATAAGTGATAATACTAAATATTTGAAAACGGCTAAGAATGTCAAAACGTAGAAACGTCAGCTATGTGGCAATTTGGAACCTTTCAAAAATATTGTAAAAAAAAATAAAGATAACTAACCAAATTTTATTTCGATATTAAATATTATTTCGGGAAATTAGACATTAATAAGAACCTATAAAATCCAACTTTTTTTAGCAATTCTTTTATTAATATTTTAGGTTAGGATAAATATATTGAGACGCGGTTTCGCCTGTAGTGTAATGCCCTTATTTGACTATGTAATGATATAAAGAAATCATATAAAGATAAGCATTCGCAATCGCGTCACTCATAGCACAGTTGATGGCTTAGAAATGACCAAGTTTATTAAAATGCGCTAAATCTTTTTGGATATATTTGGATTATTTAAGAATATCTTTGAGCGCCCCCAACCCTTTGCTTGCAGAGTTAGAGCTATTAAACAAAAAAGTATTTGAATTTGTCTCAGCAGTACTCACGCTATGATTAATATAAGAAAATTTTGTAGAAACCGACTTCAGAATAACAATGACGCCCATATTTTCCAGCATTTCTCTTGACTGATTTAGCTTAGCAATTTTTTTAGGAAATTTCCTTATTCTAAAATAAAAATTTGCCATATTACTCGATAAAGTGTTTACTTCAGTTCATGGGTTCAGTTTATTTTGTCCTGATATTTTAAAATGTACGTAAAAAGTTATTCCATTAGACTCCTTGTTTTCTATGTCTTAAAAAATAGAGGAAAAAGCAGTAAGCAAGCAAGTTCCCTCCTTATTGGCGGACTTTGCATAATGTTTACAAAAGAGGTTGATTTTAAGTTTTTATACTAAATTTGCAATAAAATTTATATCAGACTGAAGAAGCTATGACAAAGCGCGTCTAGCTAGTTATACTAAAATTGTGTATGTATACAGGATCGATATTGAGTGCGCCTTAAGTCATAAGTCAAGTCGTGAAAATACCTGTAATCTTTTTTACTGGAATATTTGTAGAAAGCATGAAGACTCATTGAATAGCATCTTCAAAACCACGGGGAAGTTAATGGCTGAAGTGCCAGTAGAAATTCACGAAAAAGAAGAAACACATACGGTTCATCAAATGCATCTACATTCTGAACTGCAGGATATTTCTAAACAATTGGCAATGAAGGAACAACTGGCCAAACAATTACAGGCAAACACGAGGTACATGGTTGACCATATGGCAATGGCTGAAATAGAAAAAAAAATCACTACTTTGGAGAAAGAGAAAGAAGATTTGATTCAACAGTTGCGCAATGTTAAAACATTGGAAGCGTCCGGAAAAATTGCAGAGCAACGAAGGAAAAGAGTGCAAGAACTTGAACAACAGATTAAAGACCTCACAAAAAAGGTAAGGGTTATCCCAAAAGCTATAAACTTGCGAAAAAAAGTATTAGATTTGAATTAAATGTGTACTGTACTGTAAAGGCAAGGAGGTAGGGTATTACGAAAACGACGGTTCTAGAAATTTGAAAAAAAAAAAGTATTAAATAAAACGACTAATTTCTCTCGTCGCATCTTTGTTCAATAATACCAAATATATCCCCACTGGTGTTGGCATGGAGCGACTTTGAAATTTGAAATGCAAACCCTCTTTTCTTTTGGATTCTCAATAGATACTGTTATAATCGCAAAAAGAAGATTTATCTTTTATCCAAGTAATACACGGGTCAATGTGATGAATCCGACTTTAGTGTTATCATACAATCGTTTAAACTTGTTTTTTCTACTGCCTACTTTTAAATACCCAAGCGTGCGCAGTGTCACTTTAAAATGTTAGCTTCATTAAGCAGTTGCTATCCAATTCGAGCATTTCCAATACTTTAGTCATGGGTTAGAAAAGTAACTGTCATATAAAAAAAAAAATTATGCAACACGTTCATAAACCTCTTGAGATACTCAATTGTAAATGATTAGTGCATAATATGATAAATAAAACTTGTTTAAACAAAAGTATAAAAACAGTAAAGTCGAATTCATAACATTAAATTGTGTATTTGACAAACATCTACCGACAATCTAAAAGAAAATTTCGGACAAAACTTAACGTTTTTGTGGCATGGAATCCGAATCTGTAATAAAAAATGGATGGTTCCATTTAAAATTTCAAAGTTTCCCCAGTTTCCCCCTTTCCACTACCAGTGGGTTGGGGTGTTGGATACCAAATATAACAACATATCATTTGTAGTTTCTCTCTTTGATTCCAATACTCTCGGCAAATATTTGTTGCACTGGAGGTTGCTTCGTCATCTTGAGCCATGACTTGTTAAGTTATTATAAGTATTGAATTAAATTGAAAATATATCACAATATCATAAAAGTAAACTCAACAAACGTGTTTTCCCCTCAAATATCCTTTTTACAAAACATATTTAAAAGTAAGTTAATATTTAAATCAAATAGATTGGTAATGTTGATTAACCGCAGTTTTTCGTAAACGCACAGTTTTTCATCTAACGTTAGTGATTAATTTTATCTAGGTTCAAGGGCAGTCTCGACTGATTAAACTCAAAGAGAGAGATGAACAGCGAATAACACAGCTTCACCAAGAAATCACGCAAATGAAACAAGTCAAAGTAAAATTGGTCAAAAATATGCGAGAGGAGTCCAACAAATTTCAACAGTGGAAATTACAAAAGGAAAGGTAATTTTTTCTCGGATCACTTGAAGTTTTTGAATTTTTAATCTGATCTTTGTAGAGAATTAACACGTGTAAAGCAAGAAGATCAGAAAAAGCAAACTGAAATAGCAAAAATTAAGTTAATGCATGCTAATCAGCAGAATGTGTTGAAACGGAAGTTTGAAGAAGCGGCGGCATTAAATAAAAGACTTCAGCAGACTCTGATTTTGAGGAAACAAGTACAAGATTCCAAATTTAATGGAAAATTCGATAAAATTGGTCCTTTGGTAAGAGACGCGTTTAGAATCCCAATTCCAACCATTTTGGTTCACTGACTTATAGCACATTAAATTTATTTTCCGATCTCTTGATTCAATTTACAGGCCATGTCACATTACTAGTCGCTATCAGTTTGAGTCTCTTAAGTTGCATAGATAAGTTTTCATTTTAACATTACCTAGGTAACTCCAAACGCAAATTAGTAGTGTGTATTATTTTGCAGAATTTTTGCAAGTTAGATAGTAACCTAAAATAAAAAATTCCTGTGTTTTTAGCTTAAACAAGAAATAGAGATCATGATGAACCTAATAGAGTTAGAGACAACATTAGGTGGATTGCTAGATGATAGAGCAATTTTACAACAGCAATTAAATGAACTGATGAAGAATCCGGAAACTGCGGAGTCGAACGAAACAAAAACGATTAAAGATGATATTGAATTAAGATCTGTGCAAATTCAAGATTTACAACTGAAGTTGGTGGATTTTGATGAAGGCTAGTAAAAAAAAAATACAATTACTGTAAACTTTTTTTTTCTATTTTATAGAGAAACCAAAAATTAGGTTTGATGGAATCCAATCCATGGCAGAGGCAAAATATGCGCTCAAATTTTTGTTTGAGCAATCCGAACAATTTTTCAAGAAATATGTTCAGTGCAAAAATAAATGTAGCGAATTGATGGAGATTAATAACGTACTTTCAGAGAAAAATGAAAGAGACGCCCATACCTTAAAACTGACTGAAGACAAATATAGGGATATCCTGTCCAACCAGCAACAGGTGTATGAAGAAAAGGTGGCGATATTATTGAGGCAACTTAGAGGAATCGAAAATGGAAGTGAGTGGGTCGTTTTTTAAAATTTTTAATTGGTTTGCCTTCAGTGATTCACTTAACATCAGTTATAGTGATTATTATATTACGGCTTACGCTTTTGGTAAGGTTCCCTTTAGAGTTTAGAGGATTGATAAACAATTTTAACCGATGGACATACCGTATAGTCCGAATTATAATGAAGAAAGTAAAAAAGTTGATATAAACTTATGCTCAAAAGTTCTTCGTTGTTCTCTTGAGTTTTTTTGCTACAATAAAACCTAAAATAACTGAAAATTGCAAACTAAATTAAGATAATTCGTGCTGTTACAAAAAATCGCAATATTTGAACATCCTGTATATCGGAAGAAAAGCATTTGACAACTCCTACTTTTTCCATCCTTCATTACTCACAAATCCAAATCATATAATTTGGTATAAAATTTCAAGAAGTGTTATTAATAGAGACTTGTATGTTTGTTATTCACCCCAAATATGTTAACGTAGACAAAGGTGTTTCATTTTTAATAAACTCTAGGCCAAAATGGCGATTCCGGATTGTCTCGATGCCAGATTCAAGAGGAATTAATTGAGAAACAAGAAAAACAGATAGAAGAGCAGCAAAAACTCATAAATAAGTTAAAGAATAAATTAGAAGAGAATGAGGTAATATTCAAGTAAATTTTGGTTGCAAAATGTTCTTTTTTGTTTTGTTCTGTTTAGAAAGCCAATTTGGAGGATGTCCCGATATCCCAAAATTCGAGGAAAACAAACAAATCGACTGTTGTTGAGAGCATTGAGGAAGATGATAAACTTGCAGAACCTGTAAGTTTTTGGGGGGTGATTATGATTTATATGAGAAATATATACTCTCAATTTTGTAGATAGACGCATCAGAATCTGAAGATTCGTTCAGCGACGATCTTATTAATGATCCTGATTGGCGAAAAACGCCATTAGGGAAGCGAGTAATAGCGGAAAAGAAGCAAATTATCAGACAAAGTCAGATTTCGGTACAAGGTTAGTTAGCTTATCCATCTATACATTTACAAGTATGAAACAAAAATAATTCGGTGTAACATTTTTTTATTTAGTAATAATATATTATAAAAACTATTCATAGATGAATGGAGATAATATCAAACATTAATAAAGCCACCCAATAAGTTCAGAGACTCCACCAGTAGTTGTGGTGGGGTCTCGGGGCAGTCCAATAATACCTGTTGATATTAATTCTTCTTCTTTAATTTGAAGTTCTTGTACAAAATGTCCAATTAACAATGGCTTTTCTATGCTAGTAGGCATTGACATTCTATAAAAAAATTGTTAGTATTCTATGTTTAGAAAACAATTCTGAAAATAATAATACACTAATAAAATCGTCTGATTTTAAAGAACTTAACTGGAAGTTAAAAAAATTGAAATAATTATTAAAGCAATATGTAAATAAAGATCCAACGATTCAAATCTATCCCCATACTCTGACGAGCTCCCACTACTATAGCTCTGTAATAATTTAAACTCATGTGGATAAAACGAGGGGCGCTAATAGAAAGCTACGCACCATACCAAACTAACTTCAAGTTAGGTTTCAAAGAATGCAAGATGTAAGTTTGCACTCAAGTTTAATTATATTAGGAATTATTGGCCTCTGCCTGCTTTTGGAATGAGTTGGTTTTAACCAGCGATATGTCGCTTTTATGGGTTAGCATTTTATGTGTTTAGACTATATCAATGCACTCTTGACAGGTGTTCTGAATAGTCAGGGTGTTATTGAAATTACATCATGTAATGTTCGCTTTTATTTTTCTTATTATTTTTTAATTGCATATTAAAAACAAAATCGATTAGGTAATAGTAAATATTTGTCATACGACAATTATCAAGAACCATAGAGTGTAGAAAAAAACTAGGAGCGACTTTGATTTAATATAAAAAATTGACAAAATGTTTTTCAATTATCGTTTAAATGAGGTGCTATAAGTATGTTGAAAATGTTCAATATCGAGACGCAATGCTGTATGTTCTTATTTAAGTTTTTTTTTTTCTTTTGATGAACGCTAAAACCTGCTCTAACAATATTTTTATTAAGATTTAAGCAGGGGACGGAAACGTTTGTCGGACGATGGATGCACTTGCAAAACAAAATGTAACAGTGTCAGATGCGGCTGTAGAAAACCGAATAAAAAATGCATGAGCACTTGCAAATGCGATGCATCCGTATGCGAAAATAGGACGTCTTCGTCCACTAATGCTGTAAGTTTGGAGTAGGGGGTGATCTGAGTTATTGCTAAACACGTGACAAATTTTTTAGGAAGTGGATCAAGCTGCTTCCGAGTTGATCCATGATTTTAAGAGGCCTAGGTAAGTCGATCTTGATTTACAGCTTTTCGCAGGTGTTATTAAATCTTAAGTAAATTTTTAAATTCTAAAGTATTTGTTGTTTTGTGAAAAAAATAAACAATATTGCAATAAGAGGCAGGGAGTGTCGCAATAATTTGGTTGGTTAATATATACAAGTATATTTTCAGGGTGGATGAAGAAATGGAAAGTCAGATTGCTAGGCGGCGTCAAGTGCCCAAAAAACTATTTATCCCACAATGATTTTAACTATGTGAGGTAAATATTTTTACTTATATGGTACCTAATAATTTAGTTGCTTAATATATATAAATATATTTTCAGAGTGGACGAAGAAATGAAAAGCCAAATTGGTTTGCGACGTTAAGTGCCCAAAAAAAACTATTCGTCTGAGAATATTGTTTTAAATATGTCACTGTTAGTACTTTTCGGTAGTTTTAATACTTTGAACTGTGATTATGATGCCCCATTTTCGATAGTTTTTTCCTTACGTGGTGGATATTTATATACAAAAAACTATACATCCTACAATTATCTTGAATCTGTGATTGTTAGTATCTTAATTTTAAGTGTGATTATGAATAATCTCTGTGAGAAAAACTATTCATCATACAAATATCTTACATATGCGACTGTTAGTATGTTCATTTCATTTTCGTTATTTTTACATTGTATCGTGGATATTTATAATCTGTATTACAAAAAAGAATATTTATTAAATTTTGATTTTTGATTATATTTTGTATAATTTTATTTACAGTTTAGCCAATTTACAAAACTTTTACATTCATTAAAGGCACAGAAACCAGAACAAAATATAACAATTGCAATAAATAGAATTAACTGGATGCATTCAAACGGAACACATCACAAATTCGCGGAGGCTGCCGACAAAAAGATCAAGCTTTACACATTTGCACGCTTTCAGCATTCTAGTAAGGAGTGAATAAACTCCATGCGCGATGGTAAGGTATGCGGAACATTGAGTTATCTGTAATATGCGTTAAATTGTATGCTATGTAAAAGACCTGGATGATAATACCAACCATTCAAAATCTTAGAGAAAAACTATATCACTCCAAAATCTTCTGGTTTGAAGAGTATCAATATTGAAGGCCTTGGTTATAATACTGTAGTTGATATGCGCCTTTGAAGCCAAAGATCTTAAAAATACTTTTTGAACGGCTTCAATGTTATCTATATGGCAGTCATCATATGGAGACTGTACCACAAATGCATACTCCGGTCTAGAGCGAACCAAAGAGATATAAAGGAGTATAAAGCAATATGGAGTAAGTTGACCACCCTTGCGTAAAACAAACCTAAGGACTCACATAGACCTGTTAGTTCAGAATCAAAGAAAACACCAAAGTCTTTAATGCTAGTGACAGCCTTGATCTCGACTCTCAATGCTATATTGGTTGTGAACCATACTCGATGAACGACTAAAGCTAATACAACGTTTTTTTACATTAAACACAAGGCTAGTAAACTTAGACCACATGCAAACACTGTCCTTGTCCCTCTGAAGCAGCAGAGCATCCTTGCTCCATTCAATCCTCCTGAATATCTTCAAATCATCCGCAAACAAAAGACACTGCGATTCCCAAACTGCACTAACAATATCATTTATAAACAAATTAAAAAAGATGGGTTCAGTGTGACAATAAATATAATATATACCCGAGACATAATTATCAATTCGAATCAACTGAGTATGACCCCACAGGGAACACTAAATCCACTGCACCAGCCCAGGCCCATAGCTCTAACTTAGAAACAAGATGCTCATAACTCACCCGGCCACTTGACCAAGCCTATCAAAGACGTTCAATACAAATTGTTTTTAGGCGAGTAAATTTGTTACTACCCTGTATAAATCCATGCAGTTGATCAGCCAGAATTCTCCTGCAATGCCAAGTTTCTCACAAAATAACTTATCGTCCAGTTTAGGAACCACCGACTGTATGCAACTGTCTCTATAATTAGCGACATAGCTCTTATCACCACTCATGAATCTGTAACAAATAGTCAACCTTCCAAAAGTCAGGAATACCTGTAAAGTACACACGCAATTCTTAATCAAGACTGATAGAATCCCATGGAGTTAAAGTCTAAACTGTAGTCAAAATTATAATTAGGAATCACGCAATCTAACGTTCCAGTGCACCCAGTATTTAAATATTCAAACGGCCTAAAAGTTTCTCAAAGGATGCCCGAAGTCCCACTGGATTTGATAATGTTTTTGTATATGTATAGTATTTTTATAGCTGAGCTTAAGCGACTGAGAACAGGTGCACATTCTATTTTTTGTTTTCCAATCTGCTTTTATAGGCTATTTTGATTTTACATACAGCCACAAAAAGTAGAAAATTAAATTTATTGGAAGCATATGAGACATCCAAATGTATTGCTTAACGATCGATTAGATTTAAATACCTCTCCTTTATTGAACTTAAATTCTCACAACAACTTTAATTATGGTTTTATTGTCATTTTTCGGTATATATCGTAGCAGGTAGTTTGTAAATATTACAATTGATAAAGACACGGTGTTGTCGAAACAATTGTAGTTGAAAATGTATAATACATACAGTTAGTCAAGGAAATGTTTTGACATAGTAAAAAAAGTTTTTATTCTGCATTTCATCATTGATGAGAACAATTTCTACTTCATTTTTAAATTTTCCTTTATTAACTCATGTTTAGTCACATATTTACTAACCAACAACGACAACGGAAAATAAATTTTTATTAGGAAATAAGATCAAAAATCAAAAGAAAGTCTAGAATTTCATTGTCAAGAAAATGTTTTTACAATTTATTTTTTATCCGTATTTTCCACCTTGGGCAGTTTCTACTTTTTGAAATACAATTTATCTTAGTCAAGCAATCGTTGAAAGTTATTTAGTCAATGTGTGTCTTTTTTTTTATTACTAAAAACAATAAACTGTCAAAATTTTAAAATGCCCGGCAAAAGAACATCCATGGACGTCATCCAGTTGGTTTATTATAACCGGCAGATAAGAAAAACGGTTCAAGAATTGTCTGAAATGTTCTCCATAACAAGGCAGACAGTGTACAATATTTTAAATCGCGCTGAAAACGAGAAACGATTGTCATTAAAGCTTCCAACTGGCCGTCCACGTAAGATTTCGGATAGAACAGAACGTGTTTTAAGAAGAAAAGTAGATGAAAATCCCATGGTATCCATTCGAACGCTTGCACATGAACTTGAAGAAGAATGTGGCATTACAGTCTCTCACGAAACGGTAAGACAAGTTTTGAAGAAGAACGAATATTCATCTAGAATAGCTCGAAAAAAACCTCTTCTTACAATGCAACATAAAGAGAGGCGATTGTCTTTTGCTGTGGAGCATATTTCAAAACCTAACGAATACTGGGATGACGTTATATTTTGTGACGAGACTAAAATTATGCTTTTTTATAATGACGGACCGAATAGAGTGTGGAGAAAACCGTTAACTGCATTGGAAAGTCGGAACATAATTCCAACCGTAAAATTTGGAAAACTTTCGGTAATGGTTTGGGGGTGCATATCTAGTAAAGGAGTTGGAGATATTTGTTTTATTGAAAACACCATGGATGCCAATCAATACTTGCATATCTTGAAGTCTCATCTTGTTGGCAGTGCAAACATGTTTGGGTTCTATTCTAATCAGAAACCAAATTTTAAGTTTTGTCAGGATAACAACCCAAAACATAAGGCTCTTTTAGTGAGAAAATGGCTTCTTTACAACTGTGGTAAAGTACTGGATACTCCTGCCCAGAGTCCAGACTTAAACCCAATTGAAAATTTGTGGAATTATTTGAAAAAAAAACATTGCCAAAAGACTTCCGAAAAATCAATGTGAGTTGAAAGCTATAATTCTGGAGGAATGGAATAAAATACCAGCAGAATATGTGAAAAAATTAATTTATTCGATGAAACGCCGTCTTCAAGTCGTGATTGATGCTAATGGCAGTCACACAAAATATTGATCATCGTAGAATCAAATATGCATCCTGTATTTTGCAATTTATATTAGTATGTAAAAACATTTTCTTGACAATTAAATTCTAGACTTCCTTTTGATTTTTGATCTTATTTCTTAATCTTAAATTTTTTGGTTTTTCGCGTTGTCGTTATTTGCTAGCTAATATATGACTAAACATGAGTTAATAAAGAAAAATTTTAAAAATGCAGTAGTTATTGTTGAAATCAATAATGAAGTGTAAAATAAAAACTTTTTTATTATGTCAAAAGACTTTCTTGACTGACTGTATATTTCTTTCTTTAAATGTATAATTATCAAGTTTCTTTGGGTCTAAACGAACGGTGATTAGGCCATCAGCGAGGTGACACGGTTCGCATCTGAAACTAAAAAACATCCCGTAATCAACATGTAATTCAAATACTGTATTCGTGAGAACACTCACCTTTAAGTCTTCGCAATCTCACGGAATGCAAACAATAACCCGCAACACTCGAATGCACGGTTCACCGAGAAATGCCGAAAAGATATTTCTTAAAATATTACTGTACCCCAAAACTATGTTTATTTTAAATGAAGCCCTTCTACTAATCGATATTCTGACAGAGCGCGGGGCGAGAAATGCGGTTTTTTAAGAAAACATCGGGCTCACATCTGGTTGCTTATTGCGTCTACATATTAAAATTTTATAGGGTAGCTTAAAAAATATATATGCGTCTTACACAATTGTCATGTAATAGGTATTTTACATACAGGAGTAGAAAAAAATATTTAATTTCGTGAAAATCTGAACTTTAGTTCTTATTTATTTTGATAAATCGATTTTCATCAAGTAAAAGCTACCTCAGTATAATTAATAAAAAAGAATAAGTTCTTTTATCTATGCTCTACCTAACCTCTAATTGAAGACATTGAAAATAATTTTGATTACATAAATATTTAGAGAAATAAAACAGAATTATGTCAGGAATTTTTAAGAAAAGCACTGGGTTGACTGGGCTAATAGTGGCCAAAAATCCCCATCAAACGTTATCTGTACTTTACGGCAAAATTTTAAGAACTCTTCAAAAGATGCCAGAAAGTGCAGCATATAGAAAAAACACGGAATTAATAATTAAAGAAAGATCAAATATTCTGCAGTCGACCTCAGCAGTTGAAGAAGTAGAAAAGAAGATAAATTGCGGACAAATTGAAGAGGTAATTGTTCAGGCTGAAAATGAATTAATCTTGGCTAGAAAAATGTTAACTTGGCGGCCATGGGAACCTTTGGTAAATCGCGCCCCATCTTCGCAGTGGACGTGGCCACCTGCTCAACGGATTGAACAACATTGAGTTGTGTGTCATTTGTAAATGGTCTGTAGTTTATATTTGAATTGCGAAAAATGTGTCATTAAGAATTTTGATTAAAACAATAAATTATTTCAGCGCAAAGAATATATGGAACAATCAACTGAGTCATCCCAAATACTAATATTTAGAGAGTAGCAATGTATATAACTCATTAAACCTATATAATAGAGCAATTTTCAACTTGCCTGTTACAGTAAATAACAATAAAATTCAAGACAGGTGTATTTAATACAAAATTATGGTGTTTTTTATCTTAAAAGACTAATTAATAAGAACAAACTTCTAACAGGCTTTAAATGATTGCGCAAGTAAAAGCAAGAACATTATGCTATACCAAAAAATCAGAAGTATTATGAAGACTGTAAGGAGTTATGAAGGGAACTTGTTAGAATATTTATACCAAAAAATCAGAAGTATTATGAAGACTGTAAGGAGTTATGAAGGGAACTTGTTAGAATATTTTTTAGGCCTACACATCTAGCACGTTTCGGAACAGCGAGGCATTTGATATGTTTAGAAGGGGAGCTACCACACTTGGAACTAGATATTGCAGATGAGGGTGGAAATAAGGAGGAACCAAATAGCAAATATGCTTTTTTAACAAATATTGCTCTTTTTTTGTCATCCACAAAGTGCAAAATTTCTTCAATGGCGTTTGGTAAGAGGTTAAACTCAAGCTTCTTCGATATTTGTCAGCCTTCTTCGTAGATAAAACATTCCGATCTGACTCACTAGTCTTGGTACTTTTAAAATTAAAATATGTTATAAGCCTTTAATTTTTAAAATTATACCAATAAAAAAAATTGTTGTAGGGGGGATACAGGTGTTGCTCTGATTGGGGTGGTTTCCATCTGCGAATGCCCTGGGATAGCAGGTGGTTCATTCATATTTTCGGCAAGGGGCTTTTTTCCTTGTAACAGGAACTGCTGTCGCGTTTAACCTGGTGATAATATTCCTAGTAAATTCTACTCCGTCCAGTTTTCCCTATACTGTCTTTGATGGCTGTGTGGGTTTTTTTTCAAGTTTCTCCATTTCCTATGCAATATTTCTTTTGCTTAGTGAAAATACATTCTGCATATTACCGTTTGTTTGAAAAAAGAAAGGTTTTCGAGAAAACTTTCCCGTTGGGACCCTGAATTTTTTTTTTTATAAATACTAATAACAAATAAAATATATTAATTATGATGGAATTTCCTACTCACCATAACTGTCCAATATACTCTAACAAAGTCCTCTTGCAAGACCAACTACTGGCAATACCGATCACTTCGCTACCGCTACCTAGCACAAAATAAACTCGCTACTAAAAATGGCATGCACCCCACATGTTGGATTCAGCCGAGTAGCAAACCGATCGGTATCGGCAGAATTTGGTCTTGTAATTGGAATTTGTTTAGGGTGTATTGGACAGTCATGGTGAGTACGAAATTCCAGCATAATAAATATATTTTATTTATTGTTTATATTATTTCCAAAATTTACAAAAAAAAATGTTTTTCAGAGTCCCGACGGGAAGGTTTTCTCGAAAACCTCTAGAGTTTTCGAAGATCGTTTCAGGGTGTCTTTTTTTCAAACAAACGGTAATCTTTTTTGAACGCAAATTACACTCACATGAAATAGAGATGCAATTATTAAGTATTTGCAGAATGCATTTTCACTAAACCGAAAAAATATTGGATAGGAAGCCTGAAAAAAACCTATACAGGCATCAAGTTACTAGGAATGTTATCACCAGGTTGATGAAATACATGCGGTGGACAAAACAGTTAACGAGGAAGCTAGAGTACAAGAAATTTACATCTTACGAAGAGCCATTCAAAGAAGCAAGAAAATCCAGGAGGAAAGAAATAAAATTTTGCACTTATTATGCGAATTACGAAAAAAGAGCAACAATTCAAAAAGATATTTTTATTTATTATAAAAGCTTATTTGCTATTTGGTTCCCCCTCATTTCCAGCCTGATTTTCAATATGGTCCCAGGTGTGGTAGCTCCTCTTCTAAACATATCAAATATCTCGCTGCTCCGAAATGTGCTAAATGTGGAAAATTCTAAAATAGACCTCTTAATAAATATACTAATATACATATAACACAAATTATTCTAAGAATAAGTTCCCTTCATAACTCCTTACAGTCTTCCTAATACTTCCGATTTTTTGATATTGGCCTTCATTATCCTCAAATATTAGAATTGGTTCTGCTATTTCTATACCCATTTGACCAAATTGGCCTCCCTTATTTCGTTTTGAAATGAAGTGTCCATTACGTCCGTTTCTACTAATTTCTGATGTAGTAGGTACTAGCGTACAAAGACGTTTCCGCTTTATTAACACATGTTAAATCACCACTACACACAAACACTTAATAAAATATGCCTTCCAACAAATCTAAATCTCAAAATCAACAACACCGAACCAAAAATAAGACACCATAACCTCTGCTTCTTTTTTCCACTCGTTAATTATCGGGAGCGCTTTACTACGTCCGCTGAACGCGACAATTATTGATACAAAGAAAATAGAGAAATAGAACATAACTTGCAAACATCCAATAGAAGTAAAAGAAGAAGAAGCACCTACAGACACATTTGCTGGAGCTATACCTTACGTAATTAAGATATTGTGTGCATAATGTCCCTGGAATCAAAACCGTATAGATATTTTGATACTCCAGATGGTGAAGATGTTTTTAAAAAACTATGGATTGTTCTCAAACCTTCTGCGGTTTTGGCTGTAGCAGCCTCTACTACGGATGTATTGCTGTACTCAAAACCTAAAGGATTTATTAATATTTTATTCAGGTTTTCCTCAATAAGTTTTCCTATATTAACAGTTAGTACCGCATTTGTACTTTCAACCAATTTGGTGGCTAGTATTAGAAAAACAAATGACAATACAAATTGGTTTTTGGGAGGTTGGTGAGTGTTTTGGGTAATGGATATTTAATAACATTATTATTTTTTAGGCTTCACGGCCGGTACTACCTTTGGCTTTTTGACCAGGAGACCAATGATTGGATTTAATATGGGTCTGTTATTAGGAGTTGCTGCATTAGTTAAGAAAAATTCACAACTCAGTGGTTATACATTAACACCTCCGAGTGTTAAAACTTCAAGAGGTAGTCTCTGGCTACTTCATCACGATTTGTCACTACTTGCTGAAAGACCAAGAAACTGGACAACTGGGCAAGAAGATGCAAAGTAGTTTCACATTAATGTTAATTTAAAAGGAAAGTAATAAAAAAATGTAGACTTCCAAAAAAGATTGCTTGAATAGTTTCCTCTTGGAATCTAATGAATAACCTAAGTTATAGCAGGCCTTAAATAAAGATCTTTCTGTCACAATAAATGTGAAGAACTTTTTTTGAGTGTGGATATTGTTTCTGTAAATAAAAATTTCTTAGTATTAATCTCTCTCTTATATGATATAATAATTATAATTGTCTGGTAGCTTTGGCATGGTTGGGTTTAATATTATTTTGACCTCTAGTGCAAATGGTGGTTGATCAAAGCAAAAGTTGCAAAACCTTTAATTTGCATACATGATTCTGTTTGAAATTAAGAATTTAAAACTGTATTTATTGAGATATGCATCACACTTAAATTATTCATGGAATAGGTGGGTTTGGGGCAAGGGCTTTCTTTCGCTTTTTTTTTTTAATTAATTTTTCTTGAAATCTGACGTTACAATTACCCCAGCAATTTTTGCTGTAAAACTATGAAATTATATTAGCACAAAAAGTCACATACAAGTGGGCACATAAACTTTATGTAAATAGTACAGCGATAGGACACACACGGCAATTTTACACTTTACAAAATTTCATTTTTACAACAAAAGGTTTTAATGACTATTTTATGAAGTGAGTATATGTTTGATCAAAAATTAATTTTTTTTTGATGATCCTTCTTCCGCAACATCTACAAAGAAAATTTGTTAATGTTTTTCAATAACTTATTCTTATATAAGACCCTAACCTTCAAAAATAAAGTTATGTTATTTTCAAATTTAATTATTGGGATATAGTAGAAAGCAAAAATCATAACGTATGGTAATAAATTTTTTTTTGTAAAAATGCAAACAGATTAGAAATTGTGTAATTTAATCAGTCAAAAAGATCCATACAAATTGTATGTATTGGGAAATAAGTCGTCCATTTTTCATATACATAGATTATTCTGCCTAAGACTCCCATGAAGAGTATTACTTATTTAGGGGTACAAATTTTGCTTAAATAAATGTGTATCTTACAATTTGAAACCCAAGTGGCAGTTATACTACAAATTTGACTAAATAAAAAATTTAAATTGTTTCCGTACTTTTTCCGTCACAGGCCACAATTTTGACTTTATCAATTTTGGTAATCTCTTGAACTTCTCTGAATTCAACATCATTCAACATAAAAGTCCACACATTATCACAAAACCTGTATGTATTTAGCTTTCCAGCCTTAAATGTAAGCCTTGACTTAACTTTTGTTGCAAGAGTCTGATTAATAGATTTATCGAACTGAAGCAATACCTTGCAAGCCAACTGTGGTGTTATTTGTCCATACTAAAAAAAAAGAATTAATGAGAAAAATATTTAAAACATGAAAGATCTATTTACTTGAATTAATTCGTCCAAACTTTCTTGAAGTGTATGTCCCAAAGTGGTATTTCTATAAAGTTGATATGACATTATTTAATGGTTTATGAGATATCTGGTACAATATTTGTGTGTTTAATCGTTCTAATATAAACTTCGAAGCCTAGAAAAATAATAATGTAAAATCAATAGATAAAAAGCAAATGGTAAGTTTGGGAGAATCTCTCTTTGCCGATGGTCCAAAGGTTCTGATAATATGACTGCCTTTTTCTTCTTGAGTTCTATGGCCAAATTACGAGGATCAGTCGCTATTACTGCCTCAGATCATGTAAATTAGCATGGATATAGCATTATTTTTGTTACCACATAGCAAAGATGTATCATTTTTTAACAACTAACGTGCAGAATCGGTTGAGGCGGAAGCAGTTTGTTGTAGAATCTGATCTATGCCTCTGGGCAGGTCTGTAGTTGGCGATTAAGCCATTCCTGGGACTTGCAGCCTCACTGATTTCGAAGTTACGTTCTCAAAAGTTAGGTTCTAGTCCATGTTAGTTAAATGTTGAAGTATGGAATTGACCTTTCGCGTCACTTTTTCTAAGAAGCGTAACTTGAGAGGTTATTTAAAAAAAATTCATTCTGATATTTGAATGGATTGTTTTTTGTCCTTCAATTTCAGATAAACTGGACGCAATTGGTGTGTCAACAGTAACATCATTTCGAATTTGCGAGAGATGCTAAATATATAGTATAGTATATCTAGTAGTTTGTCTGAATAGAAAAGAGCCCAGTTGTTCGATGCGCGAAATAAGCGTCCTATCTCCTCGCGTTCTTTATCCTGTATCCACAGCCGGCATTTATTTACGTGTATTTATTGTTCAATGCCTGGCGCTTTCACCAGATTTTTTATACCCATATAATTATTATTCTAGTACATTGTGAAGTTTTAGTTTGTTCTTTTCAATTTGTTAATGATGCGAAGATTACTGGAAATTTTTATGAAAAACTAAAACAATTTAGTAAACTAAACACAATACAAAGATAAATATTCCATTATATCGATCAACCATTATACTCAATAACCAACATTCTTTAAACATATCTACATTGTTAAAAATAAAACAAATCGTCAATATCTCCCTAACTTTCCAAAAGTAGGATGGGATTTTCCAGCTTAGCAAGGCAAAATATTAAATTATTTAATAAAATGGGAAAAAAAAGTAAACAATATTTAATTAAAATACAAACGTAAAATGTATAAAAAATAAATAGAACAAATTCTGAAAAACAAATGCTACAAATAATTATGAAGCTGTAGTAAAAAATAATGGTTTAAGTAACAAGTCCCAAAAGTGTAATTTTACTGGCTAGTAAGCAAATTTTAAAGGCAAAGTCCTGGAAGCCTGCAAGTCCAGTTAAACTTTCGCAATGAAAGACAGATAATTTAAAAAAAAAACTGGACGAGAAAGAGCAATGGACTGTAATTTTTTGTTAAATTGAAGCTAGAAATAACGGGGCGATTCAAAAAATAATATATTGATGTAACGAGACGAAAAATGACAATCTCTTTTCTTCTTGGCCTACCTTGATGTAGCTCTGGCTGTTGACCGGCACAATTTCGCAATACTTGACGGCACTCGAGATATTAATTCTGGCACGCGGAAAATGCTCTCACGTTGGTCTCTGCCTGAGTCGTACTAGTCCCGATCACAGCGGAGTACGACACCCAAGCGACATACGAGTTTTTCTGGCCATATACCCAGTGAGATTGTCACCAAAATACACGGAGAATATAACCGCAGCAATTAATTTAAAGAAAACCAATTTCAATTTGCTCGATATAAAAATTCCCCAATTACAAAAATTAAAGAGGAAAAATAAAACAAAACAATTCCGACTGGACGGAACATACCGCCCACCAAAATGGCAACATTTTATTAATGAGTCCAAAAAAAAAGAAAATAATTAACAAAAACCGTAATAACAATTCCGATACCCACGCGAATTCTAAGCTTAAAATTAAAAACTAATATATTGGAAAACATTAATAACTAATATTGGAAAGGGACAAACCTTTAAAACTGGGCGTTTGAGAATACCCTTTGCCGTCTTAATAGAGACTACTCTCACCACTCCGTCCGTACCCGGATGGACTTCTGTTACGCGCCCCAAATGCCAAGCCAATGGAGGAGAGAGATTTTCTTTAATTAACACCAGGGTGTCAATTTTAATATCAGTGGAGCGATCATAGCACTTGGATTTTTGGTTAAGGGTGTGAAGATACTCACGATGCCACCTTTTCCAAAAATCCTGATGCATGCGCTGTAATAACTGCCAACGCGAGAGTCTTCCTAATTTAACTTCGGTTAAATCTGATTCAATAAATGTGTTAAGAGGTTGAAGATTTAGAAAATGACTAGGAGTTAGAACGCTTAGATCGTTAGGGTCGGAACTAACAGGGCACAATGGCCTAGAATTTAGAATCGCTTCAATTGCGGTCAGAACTGTGATGAACTCTTCGTAGGTTAAAATATGGGTTCCTACTACCCGAACAATATGGGTTTTCACTGACTTGATGTTACTCTCCCAAATTCCACCAAAAGTTGGCGCCGAAGGAGGGTTAAAGTGCCACCTTATGCCTTCTCGTGTGGAAGCATTATGCATCTTTTGAGCGAGTTGTTTGGCGGCTCCAATAAAATTAGTGCCACAATCACTGTAGATGTCCGTAACAAGACCACGGCGAGAAATAAACCGTCTTAACGCCGCAAGGAATGCGTCGGTAGACAATTCAGTAGCGAGTTCTAAATGCAGAGCCTTGGTGGCCAAGCATACGAAAAGACAAATATAAGCCTTATAACTTTTCGAGCTTCGCATTTTGCCCATCGTTACTTGGAATGGACCACCGAAATCAACCCCACATTTGGTGAAGCATTTGATTTCATTTACTAGCACTGCAGGTAAGTTACCCATTACCGGAGGAGAAGAACAGGGGTTAATTTTAAAACAACGAACGCAAGAAGAGATGACCTTTCGTATCACTCTTTTAGAGGACGGGATCCAATATCTTTGGCTAAGTAAATATTGGGTAGTTTATAGCCCAACGTGTAAGTACTTATCATGTGTATGCTCCACAATCAGACGAGTCAGCCTATGATCACTTGGAAGTAAACACTGGTGTTTATTACTATATGGAATAGAAGAGTGATGTAAACGTCCACCCACCCTGAGAATACCATCTTGGTCAAGAAAGGGAGTGAGCTTGCGAAAATATTTCGGGAAGGACTTCAAATTATACGAGTCTTTTTTAGAGAGTGCAGTTATTTCCTTGTTATAATAAAATCTTTGAATTTGCTTGATTAAAATTAAGAGGGCTTGGTCGAGTTCAGATAGAGAAAAACATTCATTTACCAACAGCGTTGGATGTTTAGTCTTTGAGATGAAGCGCATTATGTAAGCGAAAATGCGATTCAATTTTGATAAAGATGAGAACCTGTCTATTAGGTTATCCCAGCAACATCTCTCTGTAGTCGAAATAGTAAGAGTCGTCTTTCGTCTTTCTAATGTCACTTCGTTGATCTTTAGAGACTCGTCTGACCAAGGGTCACAATGGGAAGTTAGGAATGATGGCCCCGCCCACCATTTTTCTAAGTGGAGTAATTCGCAGGGTACGATGCCGCGGGTAGCACAGTCAGCAGGATTTTCTTGTGTAGACACATGAGACCATTGACTAGGAGATACTTTTTCCTGAATATGGGTAACCCTGTTGCTAACAAATGTTGCCCACTTATGGGGTGAAGATTGAATCCACGAAAGCGTAACAGTGGAATCAGACCATGCGAAGACTGAGCTGATGGGTAACATATTTCGATACGACTGCATCACAATTTCGATCAAATGTGCTAAGAGTACAGCCGAGCATAGCTCTAAACGAGGAATTGAAATTTTCTTGAGTGGGGCTATTCTTGATTTGGCACACAAGAAGAAAGTTTTTGCTTGGTTACCTAGCACCGCTCGTACATAAATTACAGCGGCGTAGGCACTTTCAGAACTATCACAGAATCCATGTAATTCGCAGAATTTCATGTCATCGAAGGTAACCTTTCGAGGAATAGATAAAGAGGACAAGAGTGGCAGATTCTCCTTGTATAAGGCCCAAGCGGACGACACCGACTCTGGAGCCAGTTCGTCCCATTCTATTCCAGAAGACCATAGTTTTTGAATTAGTAATTTGATAAAGACAGTAACGGGAGCTAAGAACCCGAGAGGATCAAATATTCGTGCCAAATCGGACAGTAAGTTACGTTTAGTACATGCATGCTGTCTGGGATCAATTTTATAAGTAAATGTATCTGAGGTGGGACACCATTGCAGACCCAAAATTTTAATAGTTTGATCAATTTCTTTGTCTAGCGAAACCGGAACTTGGGAGAGCGATTTATCCAAATTGGAAATAAGAAGGGGATTATTACTACCCCATTTCCGGAGTTGAAAACCCCTTAAGGTAAGGAAATCGATCAATTCCTTTTGAAGGCTCAAAGCTAATTCGACAGAATCAGCACCTGACAATATGTCATCAACATAAACGTTGGTTTTTATAACCTTTGAAGCTCGAGGAAATTGATCTTCGTGGTCCTGAGCCAATTGGATTAAAGTTATAATGGCATGAAAGGGGGAGGAAGAGATTCCGTAAGTGACAGTATTAAGCCTATAATCTTGAATAGGATCGTCTTTGGAGAATCTGAAGACAATCCGCTGATAATCTCTGTGAGGTTCCGACATCAGTATCTGCCTAAACATCTGCTTTATATCGGCCACAGAGTGAGTGAGTGAGTGAGTGCGAAATTGGAGGAGTAGAGAGAATATATCTTGTTGAAGTTTGGGTCCAACTAGCAAACAGTCGTTAAGAGATAAGTTATTAGCCGCCTTTGCCGAAGCGTCAAAGACAACGCGAAGTTTAGTAGTTACACTTTCAGGTCTAAGTATACAATGGTGAGGTATATAGTATTGATGATTAGTATGTGGCAAAGGTTTAACAAGTTCCATATGACCGGAATACAAATAATCTTGCATGAATAGGTTATATTCTTTGCGGAGTTCTGGATTATGCAAGAGTCGTCGTTCAAGTGAATAAAACCTACGTAAGGCAATGTCTCTTGATTGATCGAATACCGGTAGAGAAGAGAATTTAAACGGGAGATGAAGAATGTATCGACCAGTATTATCTCGAGAGTAAGTTTCAACGAAGATTTTTTCTGCAGTCAGATCTTCAAGGGAGTGGGCGTTTATTTGAGGAATCTGTTCGAGATGCCAGAATTTATTAACAACCTCTTCGAGTGAAAGTGTAGAGGTGCAACAAAGGGTATTGTTTGAGAGAGTTGGTGGTGATGTTGGTACTCGACCTGTAATCCAACCCAGATGTGTATTAATAGCCACAGGTTCATTGATAGAGTGAGAAATAGAGCCTTCCTTAAAGAGAAATCCAAATGCATCGCAACCAAGAAGCATGTCAATGGGACTTGAAATATTAAATTTATCATCGGCAAGGTCTAAGTGGGAAAATTTACTAAGGCTAACATCCGGTAAATCAGAGCTGGGCATGTTATCACAAATTTGGGGTATAACTGCGAAATCAAGGGTTATTCGGGGTTCACTGGACATTCGAGGGATAAACGTGCAAGTAACCTCTTGAGAAACGTTCGAGGTGGTATTTCCTAAGCCTTTTACAAAAAGTGAGAGAGGCTTCCGAGTAAGTCCAAGCCTATTAGAACATTTAGATGTTATAAAGTTCACTTGACTGCCACTATCAAGTAAAGCTCTAACAGGTCTGTAGTAACCAAGCGAGTCTAAAACTTTGATTTGAGCGGTAGCTAGAAGAACTGAAGAATCTCTACCATCAGGGCTAGAATCAATGTTCGTTAAAGCAACAGACTGTGTTCCTGCATCACATTTGTTAATAAAATTATTTGAACTGGTGGAAGGATTATGATCAGGGCTGAGCTGTTTATCATGATGTAATAAAGTATGATGTGGCTTTGAGCATTTTCCACAACGTACAGGAGATGAGCATTTGAATGCTGTATGTTTTAAACCTAGGCAATTAGTGCACCAGTTTTTGATCTTTACCAACTTATATCTGTTAGCAGAATCTTTTTCTAAAAACTCTGGGCAACTATAAATTAAATGGCCTCGTTTATGACAAACTGGACAATTGGAGGAGTCAGAATTTAAAAGAAATGTTCTTTTCTGCGATTTAGAGGGTTTTTCCTTTTCCGTTATCTTGGAATCAGAAGAGTGGGAGACAGTATCTAGAGCAACGCATTGTTTTTTGAGAAAGTTTAACAAAACTTCAAAATGTTTGTTTTTGTAGTTAATATCATCTAAAGAGTTTCCGCATTCCAGCTCAAATCGAGTTGCAGTGCTTGAATCTAAACGATCGAATAGCATGTAAAAGAGAACAAACTCCCACTGTTTCGTAGGATGACCTAAGTAGTCGAGGGCTGATAAATGTTCGGAAAATTTATCTAATAATGACTGTAGGGCCTTCACGTCCGTTTTACTCTGGAGGGGTTTTATCTTTTCTATTTCACGCCAATGACTGACAGAAATCAAGCGAGAGTTCTCATAGCGCTCAGTCAATGTCTTATAAGCAATGATATAGTTACCTTCAGTTAAAGGATTGCACTGTACAATGCTCAATGGGGGCCCTTCTAAGGAATTTATGAGGTATGTAAACTTTTCAACATTTGAAAGAGTTACGTTATTGTGAATCATAGAATTAAAAAGGTCGATGAATGTCTTCCAATTGCGCAATGAACCATCAAATTTTTTCAATTCTAATTTAGGCAGCTTGATGTGACTTGGAGTACTGGGGTTAATTTTAGTACCATCAAACAATTGGGAATAAGTAGCGGCAATCTTGTAATATGTGTCGTCAAAAACTTTCCTAATATGTCTCTGTTCGTCCAGGTCACTATCATCAACCGTTGCCAAAATATTTAAAATAGCTGCATGTTGGGTTTCAAAGTCTGTAAATGCATATAACGAACCTTGAACTCCATGTGAATTGCATTATCTGTTAACGCTCGAGTAGCCACTGCGAACATTTCGTTCAAACGACTAGAAGCATTATCTCTTTGAGCTATCAAACCTTTAAGTTTTTTATCGCTCATTGGGGGACAGAGCGAGAGTAGAGTGGCGTGTAAATTTTTTGATTAGCGAGCTAATATTTAAATTAGAGTATTTGAGAGAATATTTAAAGAATGCGACAATTAAATGCTAAACAAAAAATATACAACGCCGAAATAATAATCTTCCTTATGCGACAAAAAAATTTTGAAAATACCAATATATTTTTTGCGAGTACGCAGTGCCGAAAATAGCGCGATCGATCGTTGGATGCGACGGCGACGTCTAGGTTAAATCGGTGCGAGTTCGGTACCTGTCCGAATGGAACCACAAAAAATCTCAAATTTTTAAATTCTGTTCCTTTTGAAACGAGCAAACTGAAATTTGGCCACGTTATTTTCGCGATTAATTAAATATCCGGCTCGAAGGACCAAAAAATGGACGAGAAAGAGCAATGGACTGTAATTTTTTGTTAAATTGAAGCTAGAAATAACGGGGCGATTCAAAAATTAATATATTGATGTAACGAGACGAAAAATGACAATCTCTTTTCTTCTTGGCCTACCTTGATGTAGCTCTGGCTGTTGACCGGCACAATTTCGCAATACTTGACGGCACTCGAGATATTAATTCTGGCACGCGGAAAATGCTCTCACGTTGGTCTCTGCCTGAGTCGTACTAGTCCCGATCACAGCGGAGTACGACACCCAAGCGACATACGAGTTTTTCTGGCCATATACCCAGTGAGATTGTCACCAAAATACGCGGAGAATATAACCGCAGCAATTAATTAAAAGAAAACCAATTTCAATTTGCTCGATATAAAAATTCCCCAATTACAAAAATTAAAGAGAAAAAATAAAACAAAACAATTCCGACTGGACGGAACAAAAACAAATAGTTAGAAATATTTGGCAAAGAAATATTTTTTATGAAGAAAAACCAGCTATGTTTTGACTTTGTGTTGAACTGTTTTACTTTGCAGACGATTATATTAATGGTATATTAAATAACAAGAAATGAAAATTTTCAAACTAGAAGTATTTGACACAAGGCGTAAGCTGTGTGTTTAAATTCTTTCAGTTTGAAAACTTCTTTTTACATGACTAATGTACACTATTTTTCCTAAGGCTACAAGGTATATTTTAAAAAAATATATCAATTTTATATTTTGCTTAAAAAAACACTTCAATACTATGGTTAAAAAAATATCACACCTTTTGAAAAAGTAAAAATCGAAATGCCAGCAGTGTAACCTAACATGTACTTATACCACATCTTAATTATGTTTCACGTCAAAGAACCAAAACACTTTATGTTTGAAAAAAGTCCTTTTAAACACTAATGTGATTTTTTTTCATCGAAGGTGTTATATTTCGACACAAGTTACTAGTGCCGAGGTCATTTTCAAGTAAACTAAGATTTTCTGGCCCAATGTTAAAAAAATATATATTCGATTAGTTGGAATCGGATCTGGATGGTAAGGTGGTAGTCGCAGAAGACAATGACCAAGATGTTCCAATACCTCACCGAGTTTATATTTGGCTGGGTATTTCAACTTATTTTTTAAAATTAAATCATACAATTCCGGTTTCGAGAATGTTTCTTCGTCAAAAGGAATGTTTTTTCTGTCATGTGATTCTATTAGTGCTGTTCTATTGTCATCAGTCTTCCTCCATCTACAAAAAAATAGAGTACCATTTTTTATGAATAAACGTCAATCCCTCAAAAATAACTTTTTTTGCATAATATGAATACTATTAAAATATTTTGTTGTCTGAAAAAAACTAAAAAGTATTGCAATTATCCAAATTATTTAAAAAAAACACACACACACACACACAAAAACCATTAACACCTTAAATGTAATGAAACGTTAAATCACAAAACATACAGGGGTGTAGTATATTTACATACTCATACTTAAAATTTTACTGCCCAATAAAATGTACTGATGATGAATTTGCAATCGTTTTAGAATTAACTAAATTTGTCAGTTCTTTAACAGTATAAACAATTTAATGTGGTTTTTAAAATTTGATATGACAACAAACTTGTAAAAATTTTATACTTAATTACCTGAATCCAATCTGTCTTAATAGTCTCCCAATGGACGCTTTGCTTCTGGGCTGACGAATTATTGACTGCTTTTATTTTTTCCAAGATTACTAAAAAAAACACAATCAGCTTTAAGCATTCAAGCATAGCAGCATATTTAATATCTTACATTTAAGAGTCGATTCGGTCTCCTTTTCTCCACTATATAAAAATTATACACCAGTTCCCTGATGTATTTTATTTGACTACAAGTTACTAAGTCGAGTTTTCTAGAAACTCTCGGACGCATTTTTTGTGAAGTGCTGTATGAGCAACTGGGGTTGTCTGCAACCTTTGACTTTCTTTTAACATCCTTTGGTAGGTAGAGAGGGAAACCTTCCTAGCTGCCAAAGTACATTCTCTGAAAATAATATATATATTATTTTAAGTCAACAAATTTTAAAAGAGATGCGATGTTTTAATTAGGTCTCACATAAACAAACAAAGTTATTTACCTGTCATTTTTTAAAGGAACACTCCCGAACACTTTTTTTGTGGAGTGCTGCATGAGCAACTGGAGTTTTCTGCAACCTTTGACGTTTCATTTAAAATCCTTTTGTAGGTAGAGAGGGAAAATTTCGTAGCTGCCAAAGTACGTTCTCTGAAAAGTATACAAGGTATATACGGTAGCCATGATCCAATTTCTACATGTATTTTTAGTAAATAAAAATTGCTGTTAAAAATGCTTGTATTTTTAACTGGCGCAATATGGACTGGATTATTTTGGTTTAATTTTGTTGTTAGAAGTGGTTTTGATACAATAAACAATACTTTTTATCTTTGGTGTTAAATGGCTAAACGTTATACAAAAATTTTATACCACGCATGGGTGGTATAGTAATATACCAGAAATGGGAGAAATGAGGATGTTTGAAGTGCTGAACAAAATACAATACATACTAACTATATTAATTTATGTAGTCTAAAACTAATTTCTATGCAATTCTCTTATATGTAGGGTTGATTCAGGTTACGTATTGAATTACAGTGTTTTTTAAACAAATTGTCTCTACGAAAATATAGCCACTATATGATCTAATCACTCATTTATTAAACATTCGCTCACCTCGTGCCACATAAACTCGTGACAGAATTGGGGTAAATTTGTTGCATAATATATAAAGTCACTCGTTTATTAAGCACTCTTTCCGCTGCGCTTCCCTTGTGCTAAATAAATTCGTGACTCAAATTCCGTTTACTACATTTGTTGCATAATATACTATAGTGCTATTTTTTAAAATTACATTTTCGCCAGTGCTTCATAAGCCAATAATGATAACGATCGCCCAAGGCTACCGGTAGGAATGGAACCCACGGCAAGTGGATTTGGCAGGTCTATTGCCTTACTAACCGAGTCATTCTCAGTCAATTAGTGAGAATTTGGTTACAATTACATTTCCATTACGTATTCTGTATAATGTTTTTTTTTACCATTCTACAAAGTAATTTTTATATCAAAAACATCAATCACTTTCAATGGTTAACGTCTCTCTAGAAGCTATTGAGAGAATTAGTTTCTCCTTGATGCGTCCTTAGTATTCTGTGCGATGTTGCTGGTTAGATCTGTGAATTTTATAGATTTATGAATTCATAATATATTTTCAAGATCTGTAGCAATTTGAGACAAATGTGACAGATTTAAGGGAAGATATTGAAGTTATGGTAAACGATGTTATATAGATATTAGACATAAATATGATCCACAGTTTATTCATAATTAATTCTCAAGGGTATGGTATCATTTAGCATTATGGAATATTTAAAGAGGTTATTTTTGTAGTGATGTTTTTCTTGAAAAACATTGGAGGAGCATAATTTCGCGGTCAGTATGCGATTATTATTTAGATGCACAAAGAAACAATCCAAAAGATATAAATCCAGTTATTGCAACACCTCATCACTATCTAATTTCAATTCAAAGATGTGGTGTGAGTTTTGTTGCTGTATGTATGGAAGAGATACCACCACTCTTTGTAATTGAATTTTTGCATAGAATTGTAGATACATTTCAGGTAAGAAGCTAAATATGTGGTATAAATCTCGCCTCGGCAGGATGGACAAATTGAGTGATTTCGGTGCAATGTCTTGGTAACTAAAAGAGCTGTGGAGGAGGAACTCAATGGTAAAAACATTTTTTTTAAATGTCAATTAAGATGGAAGTATTTCTTGTTTTTCAAGTTACATTCTTGAAGCACTTTTTAGAATTAACAGATTTTGAATATCTTCTTTCTGATTTTGGTTTTGACATAAAGTTCTATTCTTTTTTCTCTTTTGCTACACATAAGGTGTATTAAAAAATTATGAAAAGTTACATTTTCCAAAATAAACTGATACTATAAAAAAATGTGTAAATAACTTTTGTGTAACATTACTTGAAATAGTAAAAAATTGAACTTAAAAATTATTCTTTAAAGAAACTTCCACAAGCTACTGTAATACTTTTTACAAAACTTCTGGATTCCTCCTGCGTCAGTTTTTGCTGACTCGAACTTGCTGGTGTTTTGCCTTCTTTTTTTTTGGCTTCTTCAGAGCTTGACTGAAACTAGCTCCCATTTTATTCTGTACCTGCTTATATATTGTTTGAGGGGGGCGGAGCTAAATGAGGGGCATAAATACCGTCTCATATGACTGATTCCCATATTGGTGTTAGGTAGAGACCTGAGTCACGGTTAAGTTCGACTCAGAAAAAACTGACGCAGGAGGAATTCAGAAGTTTTGTAAAAAGTAAAAATTGAACTTGTTGATAGAGCCTGAAAACAAACTACAATAGAGAGTTCTGATTTTGAGCTCACCTCAAAAAATCCATTGACAATGTGTGACCATTTTTCCACAGCTGTTGTAGTTACCGACATCTCATGTAGAAAGATAAAAAATTGATGAAAAACAAGCAAATGCATGGCAAATTTAAGAAAAAAAAAGTATGATTTTATGTCAATAAAATTGGCAATATTCAAATTGAAAAGATGTACATAAAGTGCGTTAGGGTCTTTTTCTTATTAATTAATTGTAATATCATGTTAACCTAATATTATATTAATGTAAAATCATATTAAATAATAAATGGAAATCGTTAAATATTCCCGGGAGTACTGTGGCTAGGTGTTGGAACGTATATTTTTACTTTTAATTATTATTTTCTATTTTTTTTTTGCCATTATAATTAATCATCAATTTTCAATCAAAGATAATATGTAAGTGAAATATATGAAACAATATTAAAAAATTTGGTTATTTTTGAAAATATCAAATACTTTCCTACAAAAAAATCAAACTAATGAAACTATTAGGATTCAAAATACTTAAAAACAGTAATACATTAGTTCTTTGAATAGTATTAAAATCAAGTAAATTTTATTTGGTTTTAAATTGTTAAAACCATATTAACTTTGCATCCACTTTAACGATTTCTATACGTGTATTTTTTTGTTTTTATTTATTTATTTATAGGGATGTTCCGATACCATTAAAGTATCGATACCTACTCATTTCGATAGTACTCAAATAAATACTCCTAAAGTATCGATACTTATTCATATCGATACTTTTAGCACTTTGTTATTTTTGTATTTATTTTAAGGAAACCAGCAATGAACGTTGAAGGACAATAATTAAAACAAAATTAAGAAGGAAAAAAAAACTTTTATTATAATGGTACTTTAAACAAAAAACTCCATGATAACATTGGAATAATAAGCCGATGATTACAATAAATAAAATTATTCGTAAGCAATTTCTTGTATGTTTGACAATTTATGTTGGTTGACAATGAAAAAAAGTGAAGGGCGGACGTCTTTCTCGCTTTTGGCGCGGGCTCGGTCGAGTGAAGTCGGACGAGTTCGGCTTGGCTGGCGCGAGACAACGCGTCACCATTGATCAGATAGAGATTATGTTTGTCTGATGCGTTCGGTTTTTTTTTCAATGGTGAGGCTGATCCGATTTGATACCAAGTACTTTTGTTTCGATACCTAGTGAGTATCGCAAGATTGATTCGATGCTGTAAATACTTGGTATCGAATCAAAAGTATCGAGTACCTACTCGTATTTACTAGTATGGGAATATCCCTATTTATTTAAATTATGATGCATCAAAAAAATAAAAGGTGTTCGATTTTTTTGAAAATCGGCATATTTGTAGAAAACTGAAAAAGAAAAAACTTTCAATTTTTTTATATTTAAGGCAAATTTGCTAAAACTAATGAATAAATAATGTTCTCATATGACGCGGACTTATGTGGTGACACTGTACAGTGTGTCCCATTTTTGATGGTTCTGCGGCGTATGTCCCTTATTAATAAAGCTAGTGTATTGCAGCTTTCGTGATCTAAAGCAATTTTTTAATTAAATGAAAGGTGGCAAAAACAGAAACATTATAGCAATCTGGGAAACTTTGGCGGTAATTTATTTGTATATTTAAAAGAGTAGTAAAATTGTGAAAGCTTAGTAAAAAGATTCGTTAACATTTTAGGACTATTTCTCAGATTGTACGGAAACAATAATAAAGGAAAACTATGTTGTTGTTTATGAGGTAAAACTAACAAAAATTGAAGCTGTATATTTTATAATCGGCAATAGCTTTTAGATGAAATGCTAGATAATGGTTTTCCGTTGGCAACCGAAAGTAATATACTTAAGGAACTAATAAAACCTCCCAATATTTTGAGAACTATTGCGAATACCGTTACTGGAAAAACAAAGTAATGTTTGGTTTATTGATCATCGATTTCCAGCATTACAATGTTACATTGCTACATTTCTAGTGTAAGTGAGGTTTTGCCTACTGGCCAGCTCTCAAATATTCCTTGGAGAAGATCGGGTGTAAAATATACGAATAATGAGGCCTATTTTGATGTTATTGAGGAAGTTGATGCCATTATTGATAAATCAGGAGCAACAGTCTTTGCAGAAATACAGGGATATGTAAGTCTTTGGTATTGCTAATTGTAATAAGGAAGTCATATAAACATATGATGATATGATAGAACTTTTTAAAGAATACAGGATGTCCAAAACCAATCGATACTTGTTAAATTAATATTAATATATAAGTATTTTTTGCAGATAGATTGTTGCATTAAACTAAGTGGCATGCCGGACCTAACTTTATCCTTCATGAATCCAAGATTATTTGATGATGTCAGCTTTCATCCCTGTGTGAGATTTAAGAGGTGGGAGGTAAGGTAGATTAATAAATAATATCATAATTTATAAAAATAAAAATTTAAAGTTGATGGATTTCCAGGAAAATATGCTAATGTCTTTAAACCGACTAAAATTGCTCTGGTCCCTCAAACGCGAGAAAACTAAAAAGCATGTACTTTATTAAAGGCGCCCGGAACCATAAATATAGCGAACCATAAAATTAGGCCATTGCGGATTATCGATTTGGAAATTTGCGATTCTTTTTTTAGTTTTTTTATTGATATTTCCGAAACGGGTTAAGAGAAAGTTTTAAAGTTTTAGTGTTTTAGTAATTTTGGCATGCTAAATGTGATTCTAAAATTATAAATGTCAGAATTTGAAGGGTACAAGTAATAAAAAATGCAATAACGGTTTTGTGGGTTGATTTTTAAACTGTTTTTTTTATAAAATCAGAAAAGTTGTTTTTTGATTCGAGAAAAGGTACACTTGATTGATATCGCTAGGAGGAAAATTTATTTCAATAATACACTGTTGAGAGTGCGCATCTTATTTATTCATCAAAAATTGAAAAGTAGGATTTGAAACGGAATTGATAGGTTTGTTACACACTGTATCAAAAATAAAGCGATTGTGAACCTACATTTATATAAACTGTTTTCTTAAAATCATAAAATCATACAATCACACCCCTGAGGATCAGCAGTTTATTATGAAACACCCTGTATAGTATTTACAACAATTTGCAATGGTATTTCAAATGTTTCCTGTTGTAGGCGGAACGTGTATTATCTTTTATACCTCCAGATGGCAACTTTAGGCTTATCTCCTATCATATCAGTTCACAGAGTGTTGTAGCTATCCCTGTATATGTACGTCATAGTTTGACAAATAAATTTGGAGAACAAGCAAAATTAGATTTAACGGTTGGTCCCAAACAGACGTTGGGTAGGTCTATCGAAGGTGAGCAAATATCGGTAAATATTTTTAAATTTTTTTATTGTAATACATATTTTGTAGGTGTAAAATTGGAAGTGCTCATGCCAAAGTGTGTTTTAAATTGTGTTTTGACTGCTAATCAGGGCAAATATAATTTCGACCTTGCATCTAAAATTCTTCATTGGGACATAGGAAAAATTGATGTATCAAAGCTACCAAACATTAGGGGTTCAGTAAGTGCTCGTTATGCAACCAATTGGCTAAATATAAAAACATGAAATATTTATAAGATGTACAAGAAACAGTTTTAATGTAACTTTTCTCAAATATGAAATATTAACCACCCATTTGTTGCCAGACACTAAGGAAACTTAACTAGTCCTGCATGCAAAGTATTCTTGAGTGGCCTATACACATGCAGGCAAGCTGTAAGACGTGCCTGTACAGGTCGAGACACGCGAGTAAGTGCGAATGTGTATGTATCAAAACTCACGGCGCGTTCAGTTCCAAGCGCGGCTCGAAGCGAATCCGATTGTGTCTGATTTTTAGAGCAAGTGCGAAGGTCAACTTGTCAGTGTGTGTTCAGTTTTGTTTAGGTTTCGCGCCAAGACTGTTTCTACGCAAGGCAAATTCATAGAATTATATAAAAACAATCCATGCCTGTGGAAGATAAAATGAAAAGAGTATTCCAATAAAATATTTAAACAAGAGGCATACAAAATTTTAGTTGAGAAGTTGAAAGAAATTAACGAAGATGCAGCAAAGGAAGACGTTATCAAAAAAAAAAAAAAATGCGGAGTTATTTAAATTTCATTCTATCTCAGATAATTTCTATAATCATCCGATTCTAATCTCAATTCATTTATTAAATTAACATGCGAGTATGTATTACTTTTGGATAACCATGACTTCACCCATTTCATGTCTTTTTCTTTTCTTTTTTTGCATACTTTCAACTGTAAGAACGACAGCGGTTGCAATCGCACACATTTCTTCGACGTTGATTTTTCGCACAGCAGCAGGCCGCACCAACTGGTGAACCTCGACGTTTACCTGAATAGTGTGTGGCCGCAATTGGTTTCGCACTTGCTCGCGGACTTACCTGGACACACTTGCACGCGGACTTGCCTGCATGTGTATAGCCCCCATTATAGGTCCACATACGGATTTTGAGCTCTAATAAAATACATTAATGGAATACTTTACACTGAAGTACAGATTATCTAGTTGTATTATATTTATTTAAGGAGACTATTGTAGAAGTGAATTTCAGACTGCTCCTTTATCTTGCTAAATAAGACCTTATCATTTCACTTTTAGTTTCAAATGGGTTTCCATTTTGATGCCCGACGTTTTAAGATATTAATCTGTTTTATTTATATAAAAACCGTACAACATATGGCAAACACTTTATTTTTATTCCAGGTATCGATAGCTAGTGGCACTAATACAGTCGAAATAAATCCCTCCATCAATGTTCATTTCACTATCAACCAGTTAGCTGTAAGTGGTCTAAAAGTAAATCGGTTGGATATGTATGGCGAGAAATATAAGCCCTTCAAGGGAGTTAAGTATATCACAAAGGCAGGCAGGTTCCAAATACGTATGTAACTAAAATTATTTTAATATTTTTGATTTAATTGGTTCTGATATACTCTATATCTTTTTGGGAGATAATCTACAATTGTATTGACAATATTATTGCAATTTAATAAATTTATCACAGTACAAAGTAGCTTATTATTTGGAGTGCTATATTATTGTTCTCTGGATTCATAATTTAGAAATTGTTTTTTTATAAATAAAAATAATTCTTTAAAGAAACTTCCACAGGCTACTGTAATACTATTTACAAATCATCTGGATTCCTCCTGCGTTGGTTGTTGATGAATCGAACTTGCTGACGTTTCGCCAATCATCCTGTTGGCTTCTTCAGAGCTTCTTCAGCATTCTACTCTGTACCTGCTTATATATTGGTTGAGATAGGTGGAGCTAAACAAGGGGCATGAAAGTCATTACCATATTGGTGAAAGATAAAGACCTGAGTCACGGTTATGACTTAAAAGTATCCCAACCCAAGTCACTGAACCCAGCATTAAAATACGTTATATCTGCTCTTTTAGCTAATAATTTTCACCATAGTGATATGAAGCGTTCCATCACAAAGTACACTTCACCACAACCTTCCAAAGACAACGAGTCCGAAAGCGACCCCACAGTTGTCACTGTTGACCTTCCTTACATTCGAAAACATCGCTGACCACATTTCAAAAGTTTTTAAGAAACATAACATTAAAACTAGATTTAACACTTGTCCAAAAATCTCTCAACATCATCGATCCGGGAAAGACAAAATTCCGTTTGAGATACCAGGAGTTTACAGCATTCTATGCATTTGCGGAAGGAATACATTGGAGAAACCGGACGAATAAGGCTCAAAGAACATGAAAGAGCCTAAGAGTGCAACAAATAAACTCATCAGCAGTTGCCGAACACAATCACGAAGCCGGACATAAAATTTTATTCGATAAAACTAAAATTCTTGGATGTAATCAATTCTTCTACCAACGAAAAATCCGAGAGTCTATAGAAATCTATAAGCAACGTAACAATCTTAAGCGCGATTCAGGTCTCTACCTGTCACCAATATGGGAATCAGTCATCCGAGATGGTGTAGATGTCACTCATTTAGCTCCGCCCCCCTCAAACAATATAAAAGCAGGTACAGAGTAAAATACGAGCCAGTTTAAGTCAAGCTAGTTCCACTCAACAAAAACCGACGCAGGAGGAACCCAGAAAAACAATGTATTTGCCACTGCGTATATCTGTCATGGGTGGTGATGAGAATTCATCCTCTTCAATTTCTGTTGTGAATTGAATCCTTGGATGAATGGAATTCAGATGTTCATGGAATTTCAAAAGCCCCTCCTTGTCCATAGTTTTGGCTTCAGATTTGCCGTCTCTATTGATTTCTTTTCGAAGTAAATCATTAAGAAGGTGACAATCACAGGTGAGAGAGATGATCCCATTGCTGCTCCATCTACTTGTCGGTGTATCTACCCGTTGTACATAAAGTAAGTATTTTTTAGGTAGTTTCTTGACCGATCCGTTATGTAGGACGGAAGATCTTTACTGGATCTACTGGAATGCTCGGGTATAGGGATTTGACATCGAAGCTTGCCATAATGTCGTCCTTGTCCATCCTCAGACAACCTAAAATCTGAGTGAAATGTTCTGAATTTTTGACATAGGAATCTGCCTTGCATACTGGCGAGTTAAAGGTGCTCACGATTGCATTGTAATTTTGCATTATAATCCGATGTATTCATGACGACAGTGCCATTTCCTTTGTCTGCTGCCATTATTATAACATTTTCGTTTTTGTGTAGATTCCTCAGTGCATGCACTTCTTCCCTGCTTAAGTTTGGTTGGGGTGGTTTTGACTAACTTAAAACTCTGGCGACATCTTGCCGTATTAACTCCGCATCTTGTTCGTCTATGGTGGAAAGACTTGCTTTCACGCTGGAAACGATCTCTTCGACGGGTATTCTTTTTGGAGCTATTGCATAGTTAAATACTTTGATACGCTGACTTCTGTATCGTAAAGATGGTATGCTAAACATAAACTATAAAGCTTTTGTTGTTTTGTTTGTATTTGGCACTTGTTTTGGTTTCTTGGAATTTGAATGAAGGATTTCTAATTTCTTCCACAGTTTTTTTGACGTGATATGTTTGTCTTTCTGAGTGCGCCATAATGTTAATAATTCTATATGGTCTAAGTTGTCGCTTAGTCTCGCTAATTTCATAACGAGTCCGCCTGATCTGGTCTTGGAGTAGAGCCTTGCTAGCTTTATCCAGGATAGCTTGAGTCTTTCTGGTACGTGTGTGATAAGACAACCTTGTAAACGTTGGCAGCAAGTTCTGGTTGCGACAATTTATGAGAAAATTCAAGTTGTGTAGCGAAATAACATTCCTTTGTCTTAGTTTTTCAACTTGGTGGCTGTAAAGGTCTCCTACCCGTAAAGGTGTATAATATTTTCACGTATTGATTCACGGATGGAAAAATGTGATGACAATATACTCCGGGATATCATCCGTTCGTTTGTTGAACTCCGACTAGAATCCGTATTGGATAAATGCGTCGTCTCTCGTATTCAGAGTTCCGGACTTTTCTATCTCGATGGAATCTCGTATAATCCTGGTCCTAAATTAAGAAATATTAGCTATTTGTTTGCAAGTACCGAAATCAATTTTATGGCCTGTCTGGTGTGTTGGTGCCGAAATGAAGCAAATATTGTTTGTTTTTTATGGTTAAATGATGTTCCTTGAGCCTGGCTGAAATCCTTCTATTGGTCTGTCCAACGTACGTCAGGCTGCACGATCTGCATGCTCACTGTATACTCCTTGATTTTCCAGAGTGATTTTTCGTTTTGGATTTCTTATTATTGCTCCAATGGCATGATCAGGTTTGTATGTCGTTGATATCTGATGCTTCAGTAATATTCGGACGATTTTGTCAATAACCCCCTTGATGTATGGCAGGACAGAGATCGATCTTCGTTGGTCTCGTCCTGAACTCTGTTGCGACTTTGGTATCCGTTTTTTTTCTTCAGTTCATCTCTGTTCCTTTCGTTTGTGAGCCTGAAGGACCGAGCAATTAATGTATTTGCCACTGCCTGTATTTGTGATGGGTGGTGATGAGATTTAGCGTTCACATATCTATTGGTGTGTGTTGGTTTTCTATAGGCAGAGTGTTCCAAGTGTCGCATCACAAGGATATGTCGGACTGCAGAACTCTTGAAGCGTTAAGATATGCTTCTGAGCCCTCTCGTGCCAGTTGCAAAATGACTCGAAATGCGACAAAAGGAGACGATGCAATTCGAAATGCATCACGGGTAAGACGATAATCTTGGATAGGCTCCTCAGGAGAAAATCTCCATGCTAACTTCTGATAATCCCGATGCTTCGGTCTAGTACAATCATATGATACATGGCTTTGATGTCACAAGAAAATGCTATTGGAAATTTTCTAAAGTTAAGGCAAATTGCGGTGATGTCCTTTTGGAGTTTAGGACCTGACAGAAGAAATTCATTGAATGATCCTTGCGGAGTAGAATAAGACGCATTGAATACTACTCTCACGTTTTGGTCACTAGCTTTCGTAACCCAATGGTGGGATAGATAATACATTTTTTGAGTATCAGTCGAAGTTTCAGGAGGAGCAACAATTTATCAGACTCAGATATAGGTTAAGTGTGAGGAACCTCTTCAAGTTGCCAGAATTGGGACAAGGTTCTGTCAAGAGAATCTGATCTGAGATCTGAAGTGACGAAGCTATGGCGTGGATGTGAACGAGAGTTACCAGATGATTTGACATTTACCATGATAATCCAGCCATAAATGGTGTTTAAGGCAATATGGTCATGTGGAGATTGCATAATCTTGCCATCCAACATGAGTAATGGAAATATGGAAGCACCTAGTAAAGTGTCGATACCACTAGGAGGCTTGAAACCTGGATCGGCTAATTTAATATGAGACAAATGATCCCAGTTATTGTGTTCTACTGAAATAATAGGTATGGTAACTCAAATGGACGGTAATATGACTGAATAGACTGCCACAAAAGGTTGATCCAAACCAGATACGCTTAGTTCGAAAGTAGTGTAGCCTTTCGATGTAGTAACTGTACATACCGTAGCTTTTCAAACCCAATCTTCGAAAACACTTTTCAGTGATGCAGTTTACCTGAATCGCGCTATCCAGCAGCGCTCGGCAAGTGTGTACGTTGCCATGTCTGTCAGCCACTTGTACGAGGGCGGTAGCGAGTAGGGTTGATTCGGTTATATTTGCCGAAGAAGATGTCTATGATTTTGGTGAGTCTAGCTCTACGGATGCAAAAGATGCAACGGAGTGAGGAAGTTCGCGTGATGAGTCATGTGGCGTCTGGGGCGAACTGCCTTTGGAAGGAAAATCGGCTCCCAGAGGAGCAAAGTATAGTGTGTCAAACTGTGACAAAATTGGCTAGCTGTATTGCTCGAACATTTTTTAGCAGTGCACCACAAATTGAGGCATAATGTGCATAAGCGATGTTGCTTGACAATGGCGTAACGATCGCGAGATGTTTTCGATTTGAATACTGAACATTTAATCAACGACATCCTAATATACATTTGGGGCCATCCTGCGATAAGAAACCTTTAGGATTTGATTTAGATTTAAAACTGCGTTCGCTTTCGTTTCTGACTGATCTGAATGTGCAAAGGACGACAATGCCTTGCAATTTTTATCTAAAAATTTGATTAAATCGTCGTATGAAGGGAGCTCTTCACTGCTGTGCGCAAGCTCAAAAGATTTAGCCGAATACACATCAATTTTTGATAAAAGCAAGTTGAGAAGAATGAAATTCCACTCAACAGAGAGAAACCCCAAAATTTTCAATGCCGACAAGTTTTCTTGAAATGTGTCAACTAAACATCGCAAAACTAAATGGTCGTCAGATGACACTTTAGGAGCGTTGTATATGTTAGGCCAAAATTCAGTGACCATTAGCCTTTTGTTCTGATATCTATCACGCAATTCCTGATAAGCAACGGGGTAGTTGCTCTCAGTCATGCGCAAAGTTTTTAATAATTTCAGGGGTTCACCCTCGAATGTCGGCCAATCTCGGAAATCGCTCTTGAAAATTGGTACATCAACCTCATATACTTTGTGGTTAGTGGTAGTAAAAAAATTTGGTTTAATGTCA